CGATTTGCTAATTGAATCGAAAAATAATTTGTAAAAGTTTTGAAAATCTTTCGAATAATTTCCGAATAGTCGTTACGATGTTGCGCCGCAAGATTCCCTTTATAGGCATCCCACAAGGCGCCGGCATCGGCGTGCAAGCGTGTCGTGGGACGTTATACGTGCCCGCAAGATGACAATACGTTTCCCCTCCTCCTAAACATTCATCATCGGCAGTAGCAGTTTCTCTCTATTCATACATTGCTGTTGACTCCACTAGGAACCGCTGTGACAAGCATAAACCGCATGTAAGTGATTTGCCGAGAGATGAGACAAGCGACATCGATCCGCTTTGCTGTCGCTCGGTCAGTCTTGCGATGAGGCAATCCGCATGAAAGCGGCGGGAGCCTGTGACCTAGGGGATGAGCAAGGTTTTCTAGAAATCCAAAAATCAAGCAATGCGACGACCGGCAGTGAAAAATCTTTGCCGCTCTCTGCTGACTCTCTTCGCTGTTGCCGTCGCTTGACTCATCGCTTGCTAAATCGCTTACATGCGATTCAGCCTTTTGGGACCATTTTCGCACTAGACAGCTCGTGCATGCTTTTGGAATGCATGTTGTGCAGATGTTTCAGAAAAAGTTGCAGCGGTGCCGCCGCTATATGCGAGCGAAGAAGAAGTGGTAAAAATGTAAAGTTGTTCGAAGAAAAAGCACAGTGGAGTATGAAAGCTTTTTGGCCGCTCCTACATGTGCTGCTTCGTCGAAATGCCTTGTGTGTGGCGCCATCCTTAGGACACCAACAAACATGATGACGCCTTTGTTGAATCACCTGGAGCGTCATCACGGGGCCCGCAAGGAGTATGAAAGCGCAAATGCTGCGGCGGAGCGACGTAATGCTCCAGAGGCCTAGGATGCAGGTACAATGCCAACTTCCAGACCTTGACTGAGCAAACGGAGCTTTCACGCTAGGGCACTAGCAAAAAAAATTGGTTGCTTCATCGCAACTGGGTTGCTCAGCTACACAGTCGTCGGAGAACCAGTTTTTCTGGAGCTGATGAAATGTGCAGTGCCCACGAACAACGTTCCTTTCTAACATTCTCAAGGACTGTCATGCCGGAAATGTACGATGCTGCTAGGTATGCCCTCCACACTTTGTTGCACGCATCCTAAGGAAGGACGTGGGGTGTGTCACCATCACCTTTGACGGCTGGATGCACGAGCTGGCGACAGTAATGTGTCAGTGAAGTTTCCATGTGCTGAGTGATGACTTTGTGCCTCACAGCTTTGTGCTTGCGTGCCGCTGCCCACGTGAACGTCACGCGGCAGAGAATCTCCGTTAAGGTCACGTGACATAAATTTTTTTTGCTAAATTTTTTTGCTGAAGTTAGCGGGGAAATTTCCCCGCTAACTTCAGCGGAAAAGCGTCTCATAATGCAACGCGCGCAATTACGCTGACACCGACGTCGCTCAACCCAGAAACGGGCGCCTAAGAGCTTCGCTCTAAAAAGGACTGGTTTAAAATCGAAGGAAAAAAGAGAGAGAGAAAGCGAGAATTTTACATAAAGCTGCATGGTAGTTTGGTATAATTAAAATTCTTACACCCATTAAGATGCCATCGAGGTTTGCATATTTTGACTGCAAAGTTGTCAAAGTTTCTGATGAAGGTAAAAACACAAAATTTTTGAAAGAAAAGAAAGAAAAAAAACACAGGCAACTAGAATTTGGTGTCCCACCTACTTTCTTTGCTTTCTTTAACTTGTCACGAGAAAAGAAGCACACAGATGGGAAGGAGACAAATGATCAGGGCTTTAGGGCTGGCTGCATTCCAAGGAAGCCCAGAAAGGTGTGTGTGTATCCGCAGAGGTAATTAACAGCATCATTCATTATGTTCCTCTCTGTCGACTTCGCTCTGACATTCTGAGTTTTGATGTGCTGGTTCTCCTTTTGGAGCTGACTTCAAGAGTTATCAAGAGATGGCAATGTATCTGATTGAAATGGTTGGCTCACCGTCTCTGACCCTAAGCACTGCAAAGGATCCTGTCACTCCAAGCAGTGACCCTCTAGTGTGACTTCCATGCATCAAATATCAGACAAACTGTTCTTTTTTTTTTTTTTATGAGTTGCTAGTTGTTTATGAAAAGGAAGTAGAAATGTAGGTTTCCAAATATATGTGCCGTCACGCTGATATTAGTGCGCTGTTTGTCGTGTGCTTTTTTTACATTAGGTCGTCAAAGATTGCGTTTCAGAAAAAAAAAAAATTTGGAAAGCGTAAATATCTTGTGATGTCCCTATAAACATAATAAGAGAAACCCAAGACTGAGGAAACAGGACAACAGACAAGCACACAAAACCTCAAAATCTTATGTGTGCATATGTTTTCTCGATTGTGCCCTCAGCTTCGGGTTTTCGTTATGACTAAAGGAACAAACGAATATATTCATTCTGCGATTGTGTTTCTGACTAAAGGGATACTTCAACGAAATTTGAAATATACCCTTCGTGTTCAGAAATAGGCTGAATATGAATATGGCCAATCGGCCGCAGCCGATTGGCCAGTCACTTTGCTTCTACCATTGGCCACCCAAGCCAGGACCATGGGACGTCATGAAGGAGGTTACGTTTTGCTTGTTTTTGTAATTATAATGTGCCCTTTAACTTTTGATATAAAGCGAATTTCGTGAAAAGGAAACTTTCACTGAGTTGCTACGTTCAGTGCGCTCAGGTTCACTGCAAATTGAAACCAATAAAAAAGTTGTTGCAGGGCCCCTTTAAAGGGACACTTCAATGAAATTTGAAATATACCCGTCGTGTTCAGAAAGAGGTTGAATATGATCTGCAATATCCGTAAATGACAATCGCACGTTTGTATTTTGAGCCTGATGGCTGTATTTATCGTTATAAATGGCCCACTCTGGCAAGCCCTCAGAGAGCAGCCAGCGGAGAGCACGTCACATCCGGTGCAATCGTGACGTATTCTGTCTCGGGATGAGCAAAGCTCCTGCAAGGCTGACGTCAGGATGGCCTAGTCGTTCCAGCCACCGAAGCGGCCGAAGCACGTCAGGAATCGAGCCACCGCAATTAACCCCAAAGCTGCTTTTGTATGAATTTTGAGTGACGGGTTAATCCTTTATAATCTTGTAGAGGGGCAAAGCGACGGCTGGGACACACAAAAGTGAATCCTGGTGAAAGGGGAGTTCCTCCTTCTCCTCTTCTCTCGTGGTGACCAGATGTGAAACAGGCATCGTCACTACCTGTCAAGGTTCCTAAACGGGCATTACAAACGAGGCTTTAGCGACATCCACCAGGTATTCTTTGCTAACCATTTAATTTGGTTTAGTCCCTTTCGTGTCTTTCTTAACAAGAGAGTGGTGTGCCTGATGTGATACTGTCGAACGCAAATAGACCAAGAAGTAAGCGCTGAAATTTCGTTGCAGTATCCCTTTAAAGCACTCTGCTTCCCAAACTTTTGGGGTTGCACCAGAACCAACAAAGTGTCGCAAAATTGCTTAAAAAAAAAAAAAATTTTTTTTTGGGGGGGGGGGGGGGGGTGGGTTGGCATTGATGATAAGAAAGTACAAGTCTCATCTTAACATTGAGCTGGAACTGTGAGTTGTGCAGTCCTAACCCTGCCCCTGGTTTGAGAAACTCCCTTAACAAATAAGCTCACTTCAGTCATTAAAGGGACAATGACAGGGTATTCATGCTCGCCAAGGTTTTTATTTGTACATAGGATGTGAGAGCCCAACTACCCAGAACACAATTCGCAACTCGAAATTCGTTTTCTTTCCATCCTAGAACCGCCGATCAAGAACTGAGTGGTTTGAGTCGCGCTCACTCTCTTCTCCGTGGTCACATGCCATTCTCTATATTTTAGACACAACCACCAAATATAATCAAAGTTGTGGGTCATCAAAAACACACACTCAATATGAAAAAATGAAAAAAATTATGCTTATTTTTTGTGGCTTTTAAGTACATGCATTGATTGAAGAAAAAAAAAAGTTGCACGGCCACATGACTTTTGGCAACTCTCTCCTTTATATTTCTTCCTCCTCCCCAGCCCAGTTTGGTTTCAGTTTCCAGCGGTTGCATTTTTTTACTTTATTAAAAAATATATGTGATGCTGTATCAAAATATTGATTGGGTAGTCTTCTGTCACCACAATAAATCGCCTGGCAAAAAATGAAAACAATTTCTGGAAAGGTGTCAGCGTCCCTTTAAAAAAATCCTTCATGCTGGCATGCCTTTTTTTTTTACAATTTACAACAATTCAACTTCAATTTCGGGCATTACTGTTCATGCTCTGAAATTAAAAAGCTTGTGTCATCGTGAAAAGCCAGGTAAAAGGGGATGGGTTCTTACGATGCAACATTTGGAAGCACTGCAGTGCGTAATGTAGTATAAGTTGTTTGGTATAAACAGCTACAGATGCACCGGAGTGTGCAACAGTTAGAGGAGTGTTGGTCTGCAGCTTTTATCTAATATTTGAGAATATACAGGTCCACATGTTGCCAATTAAGAAATAAGGCAGTTTTTTTATACAAATTTATCGGCATTTCTGGCTCAAGCAGTCGGGTCAAGTATGACTTCTCACAATACAACCAGCCTATTTTGTAAGGTGTTCTTTGCAGCTGCCAAGGGCGAGCCAGTGGTTATGCTTTCTTTGTGTATCGAATCAAGGGTTGGAACTAAAGAATGTAAAACAACCTCTGAAAGATATTACCGAAATAAATTCCCTTGTCCATTCTTTAACACTGGTTTTGTCTCCCAGGGTTAGTGCTTTTGCCCTTGAAGCCATGGTCGGGCAATTGATTGGAGGCAGTTCTTTCTAGTGAAATAAGAGTTAGTGCACAGAGAAGCTGGTGAGCTGTCACACTGAAGAAAAAAACCCAGAGACAAAGAAATGAAGTAAGTGGACAAACACGACACCTTGGGTTTTTTCAGTATGATTGTTCTAGCCTCCTCTTTATTTGGGAAAATTTGTGTAAAGAGGCCAGCCCTAAGGATGCCTTGTGCTCGTCCCAGGGGCATCAGGGTCCCCCTCTGCGGCGGCGGTGTCGTCCCTGGGACCGGACCCCGAGCACATGACTGCTTTGCTGGGGCAGGACGTGATCCTGCACTGCCCCTTTGAGTACCCTGATGGGCTGCCTGTGCCCTACCTGGTCCAGTGGCACAAGAAGGACCACAAGATACCCATATACATCTGGTGAGCAGCCTCCCCGAGTTTCTTGCGACACTGTTAGCGCGAACACGACATTGGCGCATTTTCGCATTTTACTTCTCAATTGTATTAGCGAGCATGAACTTTTATGCTTACGTTATAGAACTAAATGAGCTCTTTCCGTAGCAATAATAACTTGGATGAAATCCCTTGGTTTCAAAGAGAAAAACTGGAAAAACCGGCGATCGCTTGTTTGCACTAGCAGTGTCGCGCTCTGTACTTGCGCTGCTCGACGCTGTTAGTGCAAACGCAACATTGGCACTTTCTCGCAGTTGTCAGGGGCATTGGTAAACCCCAGATTTTGATGCTTATATTAGTTCCCCAAATGAGCATTTTCATGACACTAGTGGTTTTTGTGTCAGCATTTTGATTTTAAGAGGAAAAGAGAAAAATGAAAGACGTTTACAAACCTCTGTAACGCAAAATTAGAGTGAAGCTCTTGAGGAGGAGGAGGAGGGGAGGGTATGCTCCCTCTTGTCCTCCATACCTTCCTCCTCCTGTCCTCCTCTTTTGCTCTTCTCCCCTCCCCTTCTCTTTTCCTCTCCCCTCCTCCTTCTTTCCTCGTCCTCTTCCTTCTGCATACCTTCACATTCTCCTCCTCTGTACCCTCCCCTCCTACCACAGTTTCCCCCCTAAATTTAGCTGAAGACTTGACGCCACGTGACCTCAAGAGCAATTCAGTTCCCCGCTAAATTTAGCGGGGAATTGAGTTGCTGTTGAGGTAACCTAACTTCATTTTCCCCGCTAAATCTAGCAGAGGAACTGAATTTGTTTATAGGTGACGTGACACCAAGTCATGTGACGTCATTTTCCCCGCTAAATTTAGCAGGAAACTGAATTGGTGTTGAGGTTACGGGATGTCAATTTTCCCGCTAAATCTAGCGGAGAAGCTGAATTTGTTCATACTGGACGTGACACGAAGTCATGTGACGTCATTTTTCCTGCTAAATTTAGTGGGGATTTGAATTGGTGTTGAGTTCATGTGGCATCAATTTTCCTGCTAAATTTAGCACAGTTACGCCGACGCCGCAAAACCCGCAAACGGGTGCCTAAGGGCTGCGCTCTGAAAAAACTGGAGGTTGCTTGTTTATGCTAACAGTGTCCAGCAGTGTACCTGTCATATGCAGCATGATTGCTTAGAAGCCATGGGGGCGCTTCACCACAATACTCTGTCTGAAGCTAGTTTGGAGTGGGTTGGGTTGTCCTATCAATCATTTTATATTCTACAACTTTTGAAAGCCTCAACTCATGCCTAGACTTCTCAATTGTTGTACTATAGGTATCGGGAAGGTGACAACTGCTAAACTTTCTTGAAAATAAATTTTATGTGGTGCTCATTTTTATTGGAGACGCATAGAACATGCTGGGACTGTGAAGCCTCATGATTTCGTGGTTGCTTATGTTAAGTCTAAGATTCGGTCACAAAAAAAAAAAAATCTGCAGTCATTCCGAGACCACATCTAAGGTTCACAGCTGTGAATGATAAAAGAGAACTAACGAAGCTCAAGAGGTTGTGCAGACTTTTTAGTTACGTTACAAAAACGTTTTCTCAGAGGAATGGTCGAGCTTTCAGCGTTGTTGTGGCCAACATTTCTTCCTGTGGTGCGTATGTCGAAGTTCCACGAAGCTAACCAGCCGAGTCGCACGATTGGCATGCATTTTGTGGTCGGGACAAGGTGTGGAGGTTGGATCGGAGAGGCACCACAAGTCCGTTCATACCGGGCGTCGCCGCACCCGCAGGTACGACGGGTACCCACCGCATGCGGCCGACGACTACAAGGAGCGCATCTCGCTGTCGGGCCAGTCGTCTCTCAACCTGACGAGCGTGCGGGAAACGGACAAGGGCTGGTATGAGTGCAAGGTGTTCTTCCTCAACCGAGAGACGATCCGCAACGGCACCTGGATCTACCTCGACGTGCTCGGTGAGTTGCGCGTACTGCCAGGCTAATAATGGTCTTGTGCCGTGCGAAAACGCAGGAGCTACCCGGCAATGTTTTTGTTTTTTGCGGACCATATTTTTTTTAAATTACGAATTCATCTCAGATTTTTAGTTGTTTGTACTGAATTGTGTTTGATATATAAGCAACGTTGTTGCATTGAAGCTATGAAAGTACTGTCTCACGAGTATGAAAGAATGGATCGCATATAGATTGATAGACAGATCAAGAATACCTGTTGGCTGACCTATTTTAATCTAGCAGTCACTTGCACAACCTAGCCAGCGTGTATTTTTGTTTTACCAAACAATAGCTTTTTCTGTCTTTTAATTACTGGGCTTAAAATTTAAAATTCACTTGCATATACACCTGCGTACACATAGGTTCTGCTCAAGAAGTTGCCAAAAGAAAAGGCTATGAACTGTACCAAAAACTAAATCTGCCTTATAGGTGTTAAATATGACTAGCATATTTTTTTAGTATTTTAGTATGCACTACAACGAAATATAGTTTCACAAATAAATGGTATTGCAGACACCTCGGCTTCACGCATCCTGCAAGGCATCAAAGTCTAAGAACACCTGTAATGACACCAACTAGTGCCCCTGTCGATTTCACACCTTCTTAATTATTTTCGCTTGAAAAAGGAGTGTGGAAGGCTAGAAAGTATGCGATGGGGAGGAGGGGGGGAAAAGGGCTTGACAACTGGTTATTTATGTTCAGTTATTTATTTATTTATTTCAGTACCTTACAGGCCTATGAAGGGCATTATTTAAATGAGGGAACTGTACAGAAACAATAAAAAAAAAAGTTCAACAACTTGAAATGAACACTGAAAAGCAATTAATAGTGACAGTATTAAAAGAGTTATCAAGACGAGCAGAAATGTAGGAGGGCGGTGCGAGTAAAGATGAACGTAGTGATGAAGAATAGTAAATTTTATGAAGGAGACATAATTAATACCGGTGTCAGACAGCGTTCTAAAGATCCTTTTCACTAAGCTCCTTTAAAAAATCGGCCAATCAGCTCGCGATGTGGTGCGCGCACGTGCTCTACGGCATGCGCTGGTTCGCCGTTTTTATAAAGGAGCTTAGTGAAAAGGATCTTTAAAACGCCGTCTGACAGGGGTATTAGACACTTTTCATCGACATTGTGAATGTTCAAGATCCACAGAAAGCTTTATGTTAGTGACACTTGTATTACATGATTAACTACAATAAATAAGCCGCACGGAACAGTTTCGGAATGCTTCCAGGGGCCCTGTTAGGTAACTTAGGTTGGGGTTCCAAATACTAGAAGCATATTCCAGAATAGGACAGGGTAGTGACACATATGTTAGATGTCTTAGAGAAGAAGGGGCATTACTAAGATTGCGTTTGAAGTAACTGAAGCTGTGATTTGCTTTAGGAAGGGCATAACATGAACATTTCATGAAAGATCAGGTGTGACACGGACGCCCAGGTATCCATATGAATTGACACTTTCAGGCGGAGTAGTGTTGATGAAGTAAGTCACTTGAAAGTTAGAGTTACTTTTGCTGAAAGGAACATGTTTGCACTTGTTAGTATTATCATGTTATCAAAGTAGGGAATGGGTAGTTAATTGACAAGCCTATTTTATGTGCTCCAGTGTAGGGCAGTTATAGCTGCAGGAAAGTTGCCAGTAAATCGGGGTCCTTAGGTTTCCGAGACTGAATCTCATCTGGCATGATTTCACAGAGTCAGCTGCAGCAGCTTTGGAACATTGGAGCAACAAGGGCCCGATCAAGCTGATTATATGGGACTGAAGACCTCTTTTGGTGATTTGAATGAGACTGTGCCAGTGCAGCTGGAATAACGAACGAGGCAACACTGGTTGCTTTCAATGGCTAACTCTTTGCATGGCAGTGGCAATAACTGTGTGTTAGAATCATGGCCCTGTTTGGTTTTATCTTTTTTCACTAGTATTTATTGCCCGCAATAGTTCACACACATGAGGGGCACAATTTCAAGGTATTGGAGGTACAATCAAATGTTTTTGGGGTTCAAGATTTTTTAATTGTATGTCGTGCTGCACAAGCACGCTAAAACATAAGAATAATGAGCCCAAAAGCTTCTGTTTCTACTGAAAAAAAAAAAAAGGGCTAGTTTTTTTTTGTTGTGATTTGTTTGAAGTCTAAAATGGTGATATTCACCATACCAAAACTCGACGGTAAAATGTAGGCCACAGAATGTACAGGAGTAGCTGCTTTATCACTGGGCTTGCTCTTGCATGCTCTCGACGGGTCAGTAGATATGTAGGTTTAGGTTCATGACGAGTAGGTGGGTTACAGAAATTGGCACAATCTAGCTGTGCTGAAGGCACAGCGTGCACTCTAACGGTCGAATTTACAAACCTCACTCCAATTGAGGCGCCCCTCCACTTTCTCAAGGAAGGCGCTAGGGCCGACGCTGGGGGGGGGCCAATCATGACGATGGATAAGCAGCCTAGGTTGCCTATCCGTCATCACGATTGGCCAGCGCCAGCCCTCGCACCTTCTTTGACGAAGTGGAGGGGCGCCTCAATGGGAGGGAGGTTTGTGAATTCGTCGTTAAGCATTGCCAACCCATGCGTGACTGATGAACATTGGTGGCGCACGATGACAACAAAATCTGTGACAGCTTGTTGTGGCCATGCTTTGAGGAGGCTAACGCTGCTCAGTTTTCTCCCATGTTTTTTTTTTTAACTGTCAGTACTTGGAGCTATAAATGAAGCAATGCCTTATATATTACCAGCATCACAGACTGCTTCTAAACTGTTATATTTAGTAGAGGCATGGAAGTATTAGAAACTTAGAATAATTTACGAATAGTGTTTCAATCTAATCTAATCAATTAGATTCACATCACATTTTTACTGTTCAAAGCGTTCGAGTTTTTAAGATATATTTACAATTATAAATGTAAGGTCTTTGAAATTTTCTAATTTCTCACATCAAGCTTCACTGCATTGCCCAGCGATTTTGTATCAGGCTTCACTGCTTTGCACCAGCACACATGCATCAAGCTTCATTACCTTGCACTGACGTGCTAGGTGAAACGGCTGTCATGCTAAAGCATTTTGGTTGACTCAATGGTATCGGAGGTTTTGCTCATACTGTAGGTCAGCTCTCTTTGGTTATAGTTTTACTACTTATTTTAAAGGAAAGTGCTGGAAAAGAACACCTCAAGCTATGTTCATATAACTAGGTTACTCATTGCTTTACTGCTATGTTTCATTATGTTTTAGTTAGTGCATCTTTTTGGGGCTTTTACCAAAAGTACAATGTACACAAAATGTTTCTCACATGATAACGCTGTTTCTTTTCATAGCTATGCTTTCTCAAAAAGATTTCCAGCCATGATTTCTAAAGTATTCATGCTCATATTAAATGTAAAATATTCTTATTTAATGTATTCAAATTCGATTTGCTGTTAAATTTTAATGCGAGAGTATTAAGGAGCTCGTGTCGCAGAAAATCTGGCATCGGTGGCATGCCGTGAAAATCCTGATTGGTCGATAAGGTCATGACGTCACAGCCACATGACCTTGCGCAGGAATTTCGAACAACCCTCGACGATCACGGAAAACGTGACTGCACGCGTGCAATGAAAGTGATTAAAAAACATGACATGTAATGTGACTTAAAGGTCGCCACATGTCTCAAATTATTTCAATGTATATAGTAATTCATTTGCCTTAAAGAAAAATTTAAGGAATTTTAGGTGGGATTCATACCCGCGACCTTTTGGTTGTGAGCCAGACACACTGCTGACTAGGCCACGCAAGGCACGCTTGCACAGTTTGGGAACTAGCAGGAGTTTATATGTTTCACTATCGCGTTCCACTCTTAAAGGGAAGCTGAAACACTTCTTTTAAAAAATGAAATAGAGGTTCATTCTAGCGTAGTTTTATCCCGTGAATCTGAATATCACATTCGTTTTCCCCGAAGAAGTAACTAAATGCGAAAAAACATGTAATACCTCTGACCTGTCATTATGTCATAAGAGGATTTTTCGGCTGCCAAGCGTGTGTCGCTCGAGGGTTGTGCGTGCAGTTGCAAGCTTGCCAGGTAAATTCCCCCGCACTGGCACCAGTCGTGACATCTTTTTTTGCTTTTTCTGAAAATAGCTAGAGCACACGTGCATAGCTTTGTTAGGTGCTGAAGATGCGCAAGAGCGGAGATTTTGAAAACTCCTTTTGTGACGTCACGCTCCGAGAAGGAGGGCCTTTAGTGGTACTTTAGAAATTATTTTCTGCAGCTTCCATGCACCAAATTAAAAAATAATTTTGAAGTTTGAGTTTTGGAGGTTAAATTAGGAAGATTTAAGTGTGTTTTCTCAAATAAAAATCCGCTTCAGCTTCTCTTTAAAGGCGAAGCTTAAATGTCCTTCAAGTTTTAATATTAATATTCAATTTGCAATCAAAATACTTATCTTCACACACCCCTACTATGTAGTAAAAGCGAGATGAAAGTTCCGTCGTCTCTGATAAGATCCGTACCGGATTATTCCACGTAATGGTGAGGGTGAGGGCTACAACATTGTAAGCTTTGTGGCATTAATGTACACAAAACATCTGGTTACCCTTTTCATTTTTATTTGTTTAAGACCTCATCTTCAAAGCACACAACATTTTAAGGCGAAGCTATCGAAAACGGCATCTCGAGAGGCTGCAGTTGTATGGTGCAGACAAGCTCTCGTGCCACGCAAGTTTGTTATGGGCGCCTCTTGAACCTCGGGGTGTGCATCCTTTTGGAACTCTACCACGGTCGTGTCCCGTGCCCGCCTAACCTCGACGGCATGCAGCATGACGACAGGGACGGGGTGTGTTGCGGGGTGTCCCGAGCGTTGGGCAGACCAAGATGTCGGCCTCAGTGCGGGCCTTGACGGTTACAGCGCCCCCGCACTTCAAGGCCAAGCCTGAGCAGGTGATCTACGTGAAGGTGGGCGAGTCGGTGGTGCTGCCCTGCGAGGCTGAGGGAACGCCTCCCCCCACCATCATCTGGTATAAGGTAAGCCGCGGCCGCCTTGTGCACACTACTCTCCACGCCAGTGTATCTGGCGAGCGTTTCTCTGACCGGCACCTTTACTATGTCCCCAAAAGTGGCTCCTTGGTTTCTTCCCGACGGCGTCATAAAAGTGTCACGATGTGCAAAGCGCAAGTTCGTCTGCTCCTTTTGCAGGGGTTGCGGCGACGTGAGAACGCCAAGCTCTGATTGACTTTGATTGAAGAATAGTCGGCTGCCTCGAGGTCTACCCACTATCCTTCAATCAGAGCCAAGTAGAGCTTGGCATTCTGATTTCATCACAACCCCTGCAAAAGAAGCAGACAAACTTGCGCTCCGCATTGCTTGTTGACAGTGACAGCCGCCCGTGCCGCTGCGGGTCACTTTGCGTCCCGGCTGTCGACAGAAATCAATGTAGACACGAAACAGGGTGCGTGATAGCGTCAACCTTTGTGTGCGCTAGCCCCTTTTCGCCGGCATTTGTACGACCAGCCACCGAGATCGTGACGTCCGACGGCATGATGGTTCTGCTCCTGCGACGCGATTTGTTGGTTCCTGTGGACCATTTTGGATGTGCGGGTGGGATGGGATGGTAAAAACACCAGTTGAAGAGGCGTTCAGGCACGGGATCTGGGGGGCTAAGCTCGGCGCGGCGAGATCGAGGCGAGTTCTCTGCCAAACTCGCTGACCGCCGCGATTGGTCGACACTCCCTAGATTGTGACGTTAAACGGAGAGTTTGAGGCGGTCGGAGAGTTGCATATTCGGAACTCGCGGCAAGATGCGGTGACGTCATTGTGACGTGGCATAAGCCGCCGCAGATGGGAAAAGCTTGCTGGCTCCGACCTAGGCAAGTTTGGGCGAGTTGGGCGCAAGATCAGGGAGAAGCGTCCAAAACGGCAGCGTTTTCGTTTGTGTTTTGCCGTCGGCATAGGTATTTAAACCACGCCAATGTGTTTGACATGGACGACGTTCATTTTCAACAACACTATTGCCTCTCGAAAGACGTGGTAAGGTGGCTGTGCGATGAACTGCGTGGCGAACCGGGCTTGAGGCGATGGAGCCATGAATGAACCGTCGCCCCCGTCGTGAATCCTGCATCCAAATTCTACAAAGTGAATCCTAGAAACAAATGTGTTTTTACGGCAATCTGCAACCAGGAACGCAATTTACCATTACCTACAGGCTTTCACAATTATTTTGATGGGTTGCTGTGCTGCGTAGATGCAAGATAAACGCACTTGATAAAATTCAAACTAAAACAGATGATAGAAGAAAAGCAATATACATGAATGGCGCAGACTAACAACTGTGTCATTTCTTTCTCATCTTTCTTCTTCCACACCATATTTTGACAAACAAATTGGCCGTTAGTTGTTTATACAGCAGGAGAACATGCCAGAACATTGCGACATTGTCACCTACTGTAGATAAGCAATTTAGCCAGTGCAGTATGACTGCTAGCCTAGGGTCTTTAACGTGCACCAAGTAGTAGTGATACACGACCGCATGCCGGTACGATGCTCATCAACATCGAAAAGGGCAGGGGTGAAGGTGAATCCACGATTCTCGGTTCTGCAGCGCGAGCTTTCGCTCCACGTGCACCCTATTCTGAAAAAAAAAAAAAATATTGTGGCTGTGTGGCGGTGTGGGGGGAGAAAGATGAGAAAGAAATTACACAGTTTTTAGTCTGCGCCATTCCTGTATGTTGTTTTTCGTCTATATTCTGCTTTAGTTTATATCTTTATCAAGAGCGTTTTTCTTGCATCTACGTGGTGCAGCAAACCAGGGCCGTAACCAGGGGGGGGGTTAGGGGGTTCTGACCCCCCCCCCCCCCCCCCCCCCCGAAATTTTTTTCTGGGTACGGCCCTGGTCGGTGCACTGGCAGCCAGCCGATTTTAATCTCCACCTCTGCACACGCGCAGTGGCGCCGGTCAGCTACCGGGTACTAAACCGGGACCGGTTCTCCGGTTTGCTGTAACTCTCCATTATATGTCACCGATGCACATGATTCATAGGCGAAAATAAGACAATAGACACTTTCAAAATGGCCGCCGTTGTCCCCGAAAACCCCCCCGAAATTTTTTTCTGGGTACGGCCCTGCAGCATACCATCACAATGTCTAGTCAATTAGCCCACATCCAAGCAATGTTTGTATAATTAACATCCCTGCTGTTACCTATTCTTATTTGTCATTTACGATTTAAATTAAAAAAAATTGGGCTGTATGTATGTTGATACTGCCTAAAACTTGGTCTGCTTCAACGGGGAAGATTCTCCCCGCTGTAGATGAGAAATTTAGGCATGCAGTGCCGTACAACCGCTAGCCTGGGGTCTTTAACGTCCATCCCGCAGTAGTGTTACACGACCGCACGCCGGTACGATGCTCATCAACATCGAAACGGGCAGGGATGGGGATTGAACCCAGCATCCTGGGTTCTGCAACGGACCTTTCGCTCGACGTGCTCCGAGCTGGTGTGCGCTAGCCCAGCCGGCCACCGATCCCCCGATTTAAATAAAATAAAAACCCTTCACTGCGGAACGTAGGGAAAAATCGTAGCTACGCTGGGGAACTTGCCGCCGCCGGGGAGGTCGGAAATGTAAGAGGGGGAGTGGGAAACTCGCCGGGGCAGAGTCAAAAGAAGCTCCTCCCCTCACCCGTGACGTGGCATCGGAGAGATTCCCGCCGGAGGCGAGCTTAGCCCCTCTGCACTGAGCATGTGTGCACTCCGACCCTCTAATGGCAGAGGGGACCTGGTCGACGGGGGGGGGGGGAGGGGGGGGAGGGGGGGGAGGGAGGGGAGGGGAGGGGGAGGGAGGGAGGGAGGGAGGGAGGGAGGGAGGGAGGGAGGGAGGGAGGGAGGGAGGAGAGGAGGAGAGGTTTGTGAATGTCAAATTGTAATCTTTCAGTATGCAATGCCTCTGATGGAAGCAAAGCTTCCATTAAGACGCATTACGCATTAAAAGACCCGTGTCATGCGGACAAAAGGGTAGTGATCGGCTAATTTCAACGGTCTGGCCGTCCCGGTAAATTCGGCTAGATGCCCCATAAATTTTGCGTTTCCGTGAAACGCGTCAGGTCATGCGAGGCCGGATGACTTGCGATGCAAAGTCACGTGATGTCGCAGTGTCAACAATGTTTTTAGATCTAGTAACATGGCATCGCAGTGTGACGTGACGCTATGACTTGACATTGCGATGTTGAAGGGGCGGTGCAATGATTTTAATACTGAACAAATGTGCAGCTTGTATTTTTTATATTATTTACTTCAGCATAAGTAAGAGAAACAGTGCCACCATACCCCAAAATACCTCTATTTCGCTGCGTAATCGTAAAATAAAAAACACTTTTTTTCCCAACCTGCGGCCACATGGTGGCCGCAAATGGAACCTGTGGTGTGACGTCATTCGGAGTGGTTTTTGTAAGTGATAGTGTTAGGCAATTGTAAGCTTGATTTAGGGTTAAGTTTAAAAAATCTTGTTGTTTAGGCATGCAGAAACGCTTCAAAACCCAAATATTTCCTCTAAAAGGGTATGAATTATTTGTGGCGCCATCTACCGCAAGTCAACAAAACCTGCCGTCGCTGTCATCCATCGACGCTCGAGGGGCTACACGAGCAACCCGGACGTTTTGTATTTCCCTCGCTCGACGGAGTGCGTTGGTCGTGATCCGTAGTATCGTTATTGTTCTTGGTGTCTTGACCTTGACTTCAACTTTGACTGCCTGCCGCGTCGCAAGCATCTTGCGCTCGACGTCGCTCAGGCCGTCCGCCCATGCCGCCATGTTGGTCGGGAATCGGCGGGAGAGCGGGAGAGCGGCGATCCTGGCGAGCGGGCGAGCGCTGGGGAAACAGAAGCCAGGAGAACCCAACCGGAAACCAACGCCACTCTGAATGACGTCACAGGCGAAGCTGGTGCCGCTTCAATGTTGAGTTGAGGGGTGCCAGAGATACCAATTTCTTTTATTTTTTTTAATGAAAACTAGGGCAAGCAGGAAAGAATAGTTTTCGGTCCTTCGTTTTATATGTGGCCGGGATCAGTTGCCGCAATTAATTAGCCAAAGTCCGCAAATTGTTGCACGGCCCCTTTAAGCTCTCACATTGCCCACATTTGTGTGTTTATTGCTAAGGCATTTTTTGTACGAAACATTTCGACGGTAGATCAAAGGTGTGCCATCATTTTTTTTATCTAGCTAACAGTTGGTGGGAGCCATTTAGGTTTACCTACATATTTGGCCATTTGGAGTGCAACTCGAGTGATTTTCATCTGGAGAAAACAAGTAAAGGGGGATTCCTTATGGACATTATTAAAGTACTACGCACATGCACAAGGAAGATAAGATTGCTTAACTTGTACCTCAACAGTGCACAGAGTTTCGCTTATAGCTTGCTTTGGGATAATGAGTGAGGAAACTACCGTAATATCCCGAGTCATCGCCCACCCCCCTACCGCCTGAAATTCATTAAAAAAGTGGGGTGGGCCATGTCTCGGTGGGTGAGCACAAACACTTGAAAAAAAGCGGAAAAAACCGCCTATTTTTCTCTGCGTATCTAGCGCTGATGTACAAGAGATACATCAAACTCAAAACTCGATTTAGTTTCATTGTTTTATAAAAAAAAAATGCTCACGAAAGAATATTTTACTATAGTGAAGTCCGTTGCTTGCATACGCGCTAGAAACACCGCCGATCTGCATATAGCGCGAACGTTTAATTGTTCCGTGAAAGAATATCACCACTATGTTCTCCTAGTTAGTAAAAAAAAATAAAGAAAAGTGTACAAGAAAATAGAAAAACCGACGAGGCGCAACGAGCGAGCGAGCGAGCGAGCGGACCAAAGAAGCGACCAAGAGCAATGCTGGGAAAGCGGGAAAGCCGGCGGTCGCGTTGGCAAATACTTTGGCGTCGGGCCAAGTCGGGCGCCTTGTCAATTGCAAGCTCTTGCGCAACTTTCTTGTTTGGTGCTTACATACGTGCGTCCGTGCACGGCGGGCTATCAATGCACGGTTGGGACGCTCTGCAAATGTCTGTGTAGGGCGTTCCAGCAAAGCTTTATTTACGCGTTGGCTTTGCCTAAAATATTGCACAACCGCGGTCGCGACGGGCGGGGAAAAGGAGCGGGTTCGCGGTGACCTTACTTCGGCGGAGACCAGACTTTGACCTAACACTCCGCGGTTACATTAACAAACTCTTATTTTCTTATCTCCATCGTTTTCTTTTCGCATGGATACACGACCACTTTTGGGGTCGCTCACGGAGGAAATGCGTAAACAAAAAGAAGTGTCTTTCCCTCCTTCGTTTTACTTTGTCACGGACGTCCTCCAACTGTAAGGTCCGCGGCCGCGTCATTCGGGTAGGATGAGTGTTCGCGTATCGCAGAGTGCGCGCTGGGGTTTTTGAAGGGGTGGGCAATGACTCGGTGTTTTTTCAGAAATCGATATTGGCCCAAAAACTGGGGTGGGCGATGGCTCGGGGATGGGCGATGACTCGGGATATTACGGTAGAGACTTCGCAGAACTTTTGGATACACCCTGGAGATCCCAGTCTGAGAACACCTGTCACATAGGTATGAGTAATGTTATATTGCCCCTAACATTAGCACATTCATTTATAACAGTTACCGATTAATAAGCTCGTGACTGCCCTTTGGGCTTAGAAGTTATTTTATGATTCACGCATGGTGCAGTGATGTTCAGAGTGTGGAGTGTCTAATGCCAGTGGCTGAGTGTGACCACCTTTGCCCCAGGACAACCTCCCCCTGGAGGAAGGGAGCAGTGTGCAGATCCACCCGACGGAGTTGCGCATCTCCAACCTCCGGCAGACGGACGTCGGGGACTACATGTGTATGGCACGCAACAGCGAGGGCAGCGACACGGCCGTTTCCAAAGTCATTGTGGCAGGTCTGCATTTCTGATTTGTCATATCTTTCTTTCGGGGACTTTCCTTCACCCTTAAAGCAGCTTCATTCCTGTGGGTTTAGAAAAACTGTAATGTTAGGAAGGCATTCCTGTCATCGAATGAAAGACTCTACATCCTAATTAGCGGAACAGTTTGTGTTCGGCACTATCTGTTGTGGCCACATGCGGTAACGATGAAAGAAAAACTGCATCGAGTGCTGTGCCAGTACCTCGAGAGTGTGCATCTTCGTTACGAAAGCTTTTTTTGCTTATTAAAGTATTTCTGATCGCCGTTCCCGACTGCCACTGCCATACTTGTTAATGCTTGATTGGGAGCTCTCCAAGCCCGGGAGCTGCAAAAGATTTCTTCTGCGTCGTAGGACCCGCCGTGATCACGACGCCTCCGCAGAACCTGACCAAGTTGGAGGGAAACTTTGCTGAGTTTGTGTGCGAGGCGCGGGCGTTGCCGTCCAACATCACGCACCGCTGGTTCTACAACGGCGTGGAGATCTCCAAGCTGACGTGGCTGCAGACGCGCACGCTGGTGCGCCAAGATGGCACCCTCTTCATCAACCCGACAGCGGCCGATGACTCCGGCTTCTACACGTGCGAGATCTCCAACGGCATAGGCAATCCCGAGTCGGCCACCGCCTACCTCAACATTGAATGTCAGTGCTCTTCTCATTCACGCTACCATGACCTCCGAATTAAAACGGATGTGGGGATAGCTTCTCTTTAACCGCCACTTTTGCCAACACAGTTGCCCTAAATTATTTCTACCTTGTCGCCATTTCTAGTACACATCATACTCTTCTATGTCCCTTTCTTCCTTTCCTAATTTGCGGGTTTTACTCCCCGTCGCCTGTCAATGGGAACGAGCTGTGGCGTGTCGACTGATTTAATTAATTATTTACCTTCCAGTTAGAAAATTGTCTCGTTCCATCCTTTTCATTCATTGTTTACATTCAAAGTATGCTCACATTTCCCCACAGATCTTGCCGTATAAGAGCAGGAAGGTGCTTAAAATGTTACAAATAATGTGTCTGCTTTGGGAGCCTAGTTTACTGCTTTAAAATGTGCTCTAAAATTATTAAATGGTCTTAAATAGGGGGCCCCATGTTTGGGTACCCCTAAGAAATTGAAACGTCCAAACGCCACAAGGTTCGAACCTCCATCTTATGCACTAGGGTTTCCGCAACACAGCACCACACACTTGCATTTCCCGGTTGCACATGCTCACCACTGCGCATGCTCGTCGCATGCGCAGTGGTGCGTCCCTATTTCTTAGGGGCCCCCAAGCTAAAACTCTCTATTTCAGCTTTTCATATCATCATGGCATTCTTTTCTGCTGCACAAAGCCTGAGGTTGTGTCATTTTCTCACTTGTGGTTTTCACATCCTATACTCCATTTCACCTTATGATGGATGCATCACGTGACTACACGGATCGTGCGTCGCTGCTCCCCTCCCGAAGGTCACGCGACACTCACACTGCATTGAATTGGCTTCTATGGTTTGTCGCATCATCTGCAGTTCATCGTAAGGTGAAACAAAGTATAGTGTTTGGAGAAACCTTTCAGTAGATGTTGACTCTGTTACAACAGTGCTATAGGTGACCTAGTAGACCACGTAAGGTTGTGGCAAGCGGTCGGTGAAGTGGAGCCAGAAGGAGTGTGCACACATAGAGGCCAGCATCACACAGCACCCTTTATTACGTTCCTCCGCAGACCCGGCCCGTGTGAATTTCACACCGGCGTTCCAGTACATGCCGCTGAACCTGTCCGGCATAGTGCGGTGCTACATCCAGGCCAACCCGGCCATTCAATTTGTGACCTGGTTCAAGGACAACCGGCCCTTCGAGGCCAGCTCAGTCAATGGGGTGGTGAACCTGAGCAACGGGTCACTCTTCTTCCAACGGGTCTCGTATGAGCACCAGGGGCGCTACCTGTGCAGCCCCTTCAACATCCATTCCACGGGAGGCTCCTCTGCCGTCATGGAGGTCCTTGTGAGAGGTTGGTACTTTGTTAGTCGATTCTTTCATGGACCAATTGAGTGAGAATAATAATGAAGCACATAAGCTTTTGGTCCCAGCAGTCACACCCATGTGCTTTCAGTGTCGTTTCTTTAGGCTGTTGTGCGTCCGGGCCTCTTGGCTCGTATCGAGAATGAGTGCTCCGTCAGCGTTTGGTGGAGACTCGGATTCAATCTCGCGCTTTACGCCCAAGAAATGCTGACCGCCAGTATTACTTGATCGGGTCTGGGAAAGGGTCTATTGATATGCCGGTCTGCCTACCGGCATACCTGCCTGTGTGTTAGTGCTGTTGTATACATTGATTCTCTCGTCTGCGCACCAATGTCTTTTATTTCAGTCATTTGGGTACTCGTTTCTTGTTTGCCTGTTAATGCGATTTGTGGAGAAAATCAGCGCCACACTCATTTCCAATTTCCCTTCAAAAGGCGTAGGTATGCATGGCACCTATCTCTGTAGCAACAATCAGAGGATAGATAACTGAGCAAGTTGCTAAGAGTTCATGTTGCAAAACAGTGCAAGTGATATGAGGACAAAAAGACGAAGAAAACACAAGACTTGTCTTGTGTTCTCTTTGTCTTTTTGTCCTCGTATTGGTCATGCTGTTTTTAAACATGAACGTTCAGAGGTCGGGTTGACCTTTTAGTATAACAGTGAGAGTTTGTTCACAAAATCTACGAGCTCCAGCTGAACGCACGAGAAGACGCTCCTGCCGCTTACGAGTCTGTGTAACAGTGGGGCATTAGGTTGGCATGGGTTCAGGCTTGTTGCATTCAGGCACTTAGGAGGGCAGAGCACGTCCCTGGGCTTGTCGGCGTGAGCGTGATATGTTGCCATTGGGGTGCGCAGAGCCTCCCATGTTCTCGGTGAAGCCCAAGGAGCTGTACCAGCAGCCCCGCAACACGGAGGTGACCATGCCCTGCGAGGGCAAGGGGCACCCTCCCCCAAGCGTCTCCTGGAGGAGGGTGAGTGGGGTCTTAATCGAGAAAATAATCTAATTTTTGGAATAAAATATCATTCTTGCGGCCACCGGAACACTGAAAATATATCAATATTAATATCGTGGGCGCCACAGCTCACAGCTGGCGCCACCAGGTTGGTAAGGTCGGAACAGCAACTCGTCGCAGGGGTCTTCTGTTATGGGCACTCGACCCGAGAAGGAGTCAGAACTTGTAGTCGTCACCTTATTAAACACTTTATATTGTTCGTGAACACGACAATGGCAGCGGCGGGATGCGGCAACAAAAAGAAGACGACACACAACAACGTCAGCTGCTTGGGGTACTTCGGCTAGGCTTCAACGAGTGTCTACACCAAAGTGTGGAAACGGTCAGATTTTGAAACTTTACAACGCGGCGCCAAGGTACGTCAAGCAACCTCTACGCGGACCGGCAGGCAAGTAAGGATGTCGACCATTCAGCAACCAGCATCGCTAAGCCCGTTCGTCGTCGAGCTGCCCGACAAGCTCCACTTTCGGCGCCCAGACGATTGGAATTGTTGGTTCACGAGATGGAAGTGCTACCGGATCATTTCAGGCCTGAAGAAACAAGGTGGAAAGACCCAAGTCAACGCCTTGGTTTACACTGTGGGCGGTGAAATGGAGGACTTGTTAGCCTCGCTGAAACTCACGGACGTTAAGAAACAGGATTACGAAGCCGTGACGCTGGCATTTGTGAAATGCTTCGTGCCACGCACCAACGTGATCTATGAAAAGGCAAGGTTCAACTGTCGCAAGCAAGCGGCACATGTGACCGTTGACACCTTTGTGACGGTTCTACACAAAATGGCCAAAAGTTGCGAGTATGGCGACTTGAAAGATCAACTACCGTATGAACTGGAATATAGGTCGAACTGGAATATAGGTCGACCCCCTAATTTACAAGTTGCAAAAAGCGAAAAAGAGTTTTTATGGCAAGAAAATGCAACCTTACCTTGGTAACGAATTGGCCAAGTATACAGAAGGACGAGAAAACACGGCACATTTATTTAATTGCTTCGCACGCAATAAAACAGGAAGTGTGCGAGCGTTACTACTCAGATTTTTCAGACCCTTCGTCTGACGACGAGTTCGCTAACCTAATTCTAAGGGACAATGCCGTCCCTTTGAATTGCACTCTCGAGAGCCCGGAGGCACGAGCAACCTCAACGGCTTTCGTACGGATGCACTCCAACATCTAAGATAGCGATCTGGCGCGCAGATCCCAAATAAAATTTGCCACCTTCGTTTCCAATTCAGGGTACACCACAGTCCTTCCACGAAATTAAGTTTTCTTCGCCTTGCTGCACGCCGCCAGTTTTTGTCTCTGGCCTTGCCAGTAGCGTCTTCTACTTCCGCTCATTATCACTACAGGAGCGGCAACAAACCAAGGAGCACAAGTGAAAGTGAATCGTGACAAGTGGACAAGTGCTTGGCGATTGCAAAGAAAAACAAGATGGCGGCTTCAGCCACCCAGAGTTGCAAAATTATTTTAGTTTTTTCGCTAATGACCGTTATATAAGACGAAGGTGAACTTTTTCAGGTCTATTTTCAAAAAGAAATTCGACCGATATTCCGGTTTATTGGGTAGTCAGAGATTGACTTGTGGTGGGACTGATCGATGCGAAGTTGGGTGAAAAGCTCCAGCTCAAAGCAGAATGAACGTTAGAAACCGCCATTTCCACAGCATGCAATTTTGAGATGGTTAAACAGCAGCTAAAGGAACTGCGGCCTCGCTCGCAGCCAAGTGCAACCGTCGACGAGGTCCACACCTTTTCGCGGCGAGCCAGGAGCAAAAAAGAAGCAACCGTTTCGTGACAGTCGACATGACCGAGGAGTTTCCTGTTCATGCAAGTGGTGCAGCTACACTACGCATCCACACTCTTGCTCCAACTGCCCAGCAGCCAACAAGACATGCAATGGTTGTGGCAAAAAGGGACACTTTGTGTCGTGCAACGGTGTGGCAAAAAGGGACACTTTGTGTCAGTGTGCCTGTCTCCAGAGAACCCAACGACGAACGGTACTCACCAGGTTACACTAGAAGAAATCTACTTGAAGGAAATAAGCAGACTTGCACACGTTACCCAGAAAAACTAACTAATACCATTATTATCCGTTACTCGCTCAAAAAGTAGCTAGATACAAAAAAGCAGTTAGGGCACAGGTGAGCTGGTGTAGGTTTACCATTTTTTTAGACCACCTGAGACTGGGTGGAAGAAACAGGATGACATTATCGTGTTCGGAAGAACAAGGGAAGAACACAACTCACACTTGCACCAAGTACTGAAGCGCCCGCAAGACGCCGGCATAACCCTGAACGAAGACTAGTGCATACTCTGAAAGCAGTCGGTGAAATTTCTTGGACTTGTCATCTCCACCAACGGTGCCAGTGTAAATCCTGTGAAGATCACTGCATTCACTCAAATGGCGCCGCCCAGTGATGCGTCAGAGGTCGGGTCATTTCTAGGAATGGCAAGCCATTTGGCAAAGTTTCTCCCAGGACTCTCACAACTCACAAAGCCTCTCCGTGATTTGCTTCACCATGATGCTGACTGTTGCGGGTACAAGCCACAGCAAGAAGGCTTCAACTCCGTCAAAGAAGTATTGACAACACCGGTACTTGCACACTGCAATCCTCAGGATCATCCCACAGTCTCGGCAGATGCATTCTCATAAGGCCTGGGGACAGTCCTTCCTCAGGAGATACCTGGACGACAACTCCCTGTTGCCTACGCGTTGTGGTCGCTTTCAGATACCAAACAACGCTAAGCCCAGATTGAAAAGCAGCACTTCACGTTGGCACGCGAGCAATACTGCTCGCATGCCAACGTGTTCTAATTCCATATAGAGACAGATCACAAGCCACCCGTACCACTTCTTCAAAACGCCTTGATGAGCTTAATCCACGTCTGCAGCACCTGCGGATGAGGCTGAAGGAGGAGATACACATAGCAGATGTACTCTTGCGGAAGCAACGAGCAGAAGAGGACAGCAGCAGCCCAAGAAACCTCGATGTGGCTGTAAAAGAGTATGAGTTGTTCACCATAGAACTCCTACCTGCCTCGGCGAACATTTCATGGAAAGTATCAAAGAAGCACAGAAGCAACATCCAGCCATTTCAAGGGTATGGAACTACTGTTTGACTTTATGGCTCAAGTGTGCGTCACTGCCACTTCCAGTGCAACAATATTCCAAAGTTTCCCACGAACTTGTTATGGTGGAAGCACTTCTCCTCAAGGATAAATCGCATAGTCACCCCTCCAAACATGCAAAGTGAGGTGTTGGAAAGCACTCACACAGGCCACCAGGGTGTACGCCGATGCAGAGCTCGAGCCCGCCAATCTGTTTTGTGGCCAGGTATCAGCCAACACATTCAAGACTATAAGTCTCGAGATGTCCAGTTTGCAAGCTCATCGAAAGCCTGGCAAAGAGCCCCTGCTACACACGCCACTCCTGAACCATCCATGGAAAGTGGTTGAAATGGAGGCCTTTTCAACGAAAACGGAGAGAACTACCTTGTAGTGGTGGTCTATCTCTCAAGGTTCTTCAAACTCGAGAAGCTCAAGAGGACGATGATTCGAGACATCACGCAAACAGTCAGTTCGGTGTTTGCCCGCTTTTAAACGCATGCCATCATTTGGTCAAATAATATGGGCCACAGTTGACCCCTACAGAATTTCAAAAGTTTGTGAAGGAGTGGGAATCACGTCATGTCACATGCAGCCCATACTATCCTCGGAGTAATGGCGCCGTAGAGAGAACCTCACAAACTGCAAAGCAGCTGCTCAAGAAGTTGCCCGACATCGGCCAAGCACTGCTGGTGCAATAGGACACCCCAGCGATTGAAGGGTGCTCCCCAGCAGAACTCCTAATAGGACGACGGATATGGACCAACATACCAGTCATGTCCGGAGAGTTCCAACCATGTTGGACCATTCGGCCGTTCTGAAAAAGAAATTGAGCATACAAAGCCAAACAGAGTGCACAATATAACACTCATCACAGGGTCAGAGAAAAAGAACCCATACCTCCACATACAGCTGTGAGGATTTTCTCTGGTGCAGCCACAAGTGGCACAGTGTTGCAACCTGCTCAATCTCTACATTCATATGCAGTGGAGAGAACCAGCTGCATCATGCATTGCACCAACTGTCATGTGCAGCCTCTGCAGCCCGGAGTAGTACACAAGAAGTGGACTACAAACAAGACCTCCCAGTTGCCTCAAGCTATAAAAGCAAGACAGTGAGACGACCTCAAAGAAAGGGAAGGGTCGTGGGTGCCACAGCTCACAGATGGTGCCACCAGGTGGGCAAGGTCGGGGCAGCAACTCTTGTCGCAGGGGTCTTCTGGCCTGGACACCCGACCCGACAAAAATTCGGAACTTCTAACCCGTTGCCTCAATTAACCCCTTAACTATTTCAAATTTTTACTAAATTTCTGACTCCAGCTGAATTGTTAACTTCAAAATCAAGTTAGTTGCTTTCAAAATCAAATTTCTAGCCACAAACAAAATCAAAGCAAAATTTAAAAAAAAAACAAAAAAAAAACAGTGTTGCTTGTTATTTGTTTGCAGATTCGCGAACTAAGCCATGAGCGAGCCTGGGTCATTCAAAACAATTGAGTGCATGAACCGTAGAAAGGAGACGAGCTAGCTATACTCATCTCTAATAGTTTTTAGGACGAATCAATGTTGACGAGCTAGGCTCTTCCAAAACGGTTAAAGGGTTAAAGAAAATATGAACACAAAGTTGCAGAGAGCGAAACTGCCCTCGTGACTGTATTCCTCTGCGCTGATCCACTGGTTTGTTTTTCACGTCTGATATCATGTGACTGTATCAAAACATTACTTCGGTGGTGTCCTGCAGTGGCAAAGCTGCAGTGATGGAAGTGCTGCGCCAATTGCGCCAAATTGCGCCAAGGACGCAATCCTGCTACATGTAGCGCCAAATTGTCATTTTACCGACGAATTGCGCCATGCCTGCGCCGAGATGAGATGTAGCAATAAAAAATAAAAATTGAAGTCTTATCAGAGCGCGTGGCGGTGTTGCGGTATTTTCCGCGCCGCAACTGTTACGCAAACCGAAACTGCGAGGGAGCATTATCATCATCATCATTGAAAGGAACAACGTTAGCAACATCTGAAACCAAAGCCGCAGAGGCTAAGCGAAGAATCGTCCCACTAAGCAGCCTATTTAAAAAAAAAAAAAAAGTCCGAGCTTGGGGATGTTTTTAATGTAGGCCCAACCTGTTTCCATGCGCTAGCTACCAGCGAAGTCAAAGCTAGCGCGAGCCCAATGCTCTGTGCATTCCTGACTCGCGCGTGGGCTTGTGCAGTGTGGGCACCGTTACGGGCTCCATGCGCGCGGCGCGCTTGTAACTTCGGCTGCGCTCGCACCGAAGCTGAAACGAAGTATAGTTGAGTTGCACCAAACTCTGAATGTAGTGCTGGTAAAGCCTCACCGTTCTTTTCGCAGCACAAAGCACTGCGGGACTCGCGTGACTGTGGTATCTGCTCCGCGGGTGTCGCTTCTCTGCAGCGCGTCGGTGCATGCCAAGGAAAGACAACTCTATAATCTGAACTGAAACATTCCACAACAGTGAGGGTCGTTAGATGCTGCTGCAGATACCTTAAAAGAAGTGCAGGCTGATAAAAATAAATATCCTGTACCATCAGAACTCAGTGTGACATATTTAATTGTATTTTTTATCTGACGAGCAGATACACTTTATTTTAAAAAAATGTTTTTTTTTTGTGTTTACTTTGTTGAATTTGATATACCCTGTCTTAAAAAGGCGACAGGCGCTGTGTTCCAATAATAGAGATGGGCTTTATATGGCAATGCAGTATTATTTCATTTTCAAGTAATATGCCAACATATGCCGGACCCTGCTCCAAAAGGGCCACTACCTGCTCCAAAACAACATTTTGCCTGCTACAAGGCCTGCTCCAAAAGGTCAAATGGCACTTCCATCACTGAAGCTGGGACAAGCTTATGGAGCTAAAGCCCCTTTTGAAGTGCAGCCAATCCTTTAATTACATACCCATACTACGCATGTTTTCCCCACTCCCCAAGTAATAGAGAGGTCCCAGTCGTGTCAGCCTTGACCCGAAAAAATGTTCTGTCTACACCACTGGCACCTTGGCACCATATTCTTGTGCTTCACAAAAAAGCTGTAAATAAATGGCATCTCGGGAACCTTGTCATTCGTTTGGCGTTCGTTGTCAAGCAGTCAAAGGATTCGCGTGAAAGAGAACAGAAGGCATGCATGCTGGTGCTTGCAGGCGGATGGCAAGAAGCTTCCCAAGAACCGGCACGCGGTGAACAAGGGCAAGCTGACCATCCGCAGTTTGCAGAAGGAGGACCATGGCCGCTACGAGTGCGTCCTCCAGAACGACGTGGCAACTTTGGTCACCAGCACACTGCTGCTGGTTGAAAGTGCGTCGCCATCATGGCTTCCACCCAATTCCTTCCACAATAAGCTAGGCTGACGAGTGAAAGACGAGATGGGAAAACGAGGACAAGTCCAATTTGGCCCGAGGAGCGTGATCACTCCAAAAAGCTTTTCTCAAACAGTACTTTGGAAGCGACTGCTCTGTGTTATACATAGGATTCCGTGTTTTTGGATAAATCCGATAAACTCGGAAAAACGCTTGACGGTAAAATTTTTGACGCTTCGAATTTATCTCAAAAACTTACTTTCCAGGTTACGATGGAAAAATAAAGAGCCAAAAGAGACTGTATTTTATTAAGAAAGTTTGTCAGAGCACAGGGTTAATAATCCTTATAAAACTAACCAATTAATTTTTTTTTTTTTATTGACGATATGGAGTTTTTTTGTTTTTTCATCAAGTTTCATTCAGTACAATGGGCCAATGCACTTCTGGAACACAAAAATAGCCACTGTTCTGGTTTCCAGTTTCAACCATACCATTCGGGCTTCTAAGAGAGAAGAGGTGTTTTTTTATTTAACTCCGAATTTCTGAGAATTGGAAATCTAGTAAAAATAAACTTCGATAGACCCCGAACTTCCCCCATAAAATAAACTCAGAAAATACAGGATCCTAGTTATTTGTGATAAAGTACAAGGTACATCAGCCCGGGCCGCAGTCTTACCGCTTTATTAACACAATCAAACGTCAAGGTGCAAGAATGACACATATAAACTGAAGCGGTGCTCTCGGTTATCTGCCCCAAGTGCACAGGATAATAAACAGGCATGCTTGTGCCGTCGTCATGCCTGACATGCCGTCGTAACGGTCCAATGGTGCATTCGCTCATGATACGAGGGGCAGAAGGCGGCAGGATAGTTGGAATTGCGCACAGAATTTGCTTGGTCGACTTAAGAGTGGCGTATCTTTTCGGTCCGGCAACAGAGGAGTCACCACGGGTGCGTTTGTTGCAAGGAATGATGTTTGTAGATTTTTCACCTGATCCCCCAAAGGTCATCCAGGTGATATCCCACACTGCCTGGTGATAGTTAGGGGGAGGAAATTGGCTAAGAAGGGTAGGAGGAATCGTACGTTTCTCTTTTTAGATTTGGGCTAAATGGTGCAAGCTACCGCCCATTACAAAGGGTACAGCCATTAACATCCATCCGTGCCTCTCCGTGCAGGTACCACGCCCCATGCCCCCACCAACGTGTCGGTGAACACGAGCGCCTTTGCAGCTACGGTGTCCTGGCTGCCCGGATACGACGGGGGACACCCGCAGACCTACGTGCTCTGGTGGGTTCCCGCACAAGACTGCCTGTGCCTGCCCCGCTTGCACGGGAGGGGCTCGGCCGTTGGCGGTGAACCCCGAGTGTGGTGCCCAATTAGGTCGCAAAGGCCACCAACAGCTATAAACTCTGCAATATAAAAAAAATGCACACAGAGGATAAAAGCCAGACCCTATCTCTAACCACAAAGCCCCCTTTTTTTTTTATTTTGCTACGGCATTTTAGTCAATAAGAAATGGTGCATGGTATCAAATTATGGAGCTGTCCTCAATGGTTACATGTTCTGAGAAAAGTTATATTGCGTCTTCTAAAACAAAAGAGTGGCATTTGGACGTATTCAGTCGGGTTCTGGTGCAATATAGAGTCGAGCCCGGTTATATCACACTCGGGTATTTCAAATTATTGTTTATATCAAACATTCCAAACATCCTCTTGAAAATCGCATGTAATACTATAGGAGTATTGTCTTTTTGTATTGAACTCCCATGGTAGGGACATTCGATATAGCAAACGAAGCCCGGCCGCCCGTTGCTTCTCCCGCGATCGCGATTGCACTGGTGGCGAGCACATCGCTTGCGTTGCAGGGCTGGCAGACCGCCAAGCCAGCATACATGCATAAGATAAGTTGCAAAAAAGCAGTTGTAGAAAAAAAAAAAAAGAACTGTCAACCCTGAAAAAAAAAGAAGTAGAGGATGGCAAAAGCAAGGGGAAGCGCAGCACGCACGCGTAGGGAGAGCAGGGAGTGCCTGCTGTCGGAAAGGTAGCCTGCACTTTTTTCCCGAACACTACTGATGTTGCGCAACTCCCTAACCCCAAGATAAAATGATAGAAATGATGTCTTTCATATGCCATGGACGAAGAAGTAGTCGGAACCAACACTACGGATGAAGAGAAGGACAAAGCAAGCGTTTGGTTGCTGGTAGCTAGTCGAGTTGTTTCCAGGCTGCACTGATGATGTCTCCTGCATCGGAGACGATACATTTACTACTCATAAATTGTTGACATTGTCATATAAGTCGGAGGTATTTGCTTTGTAATCATGAATCCAAGCTTTTGGAACATTTTTGCTCTACTGTATTTAGCGGCTCTTGGATGCTCAATTTGGTAAGCTCCCGTTTGTCGCGACCTTCGGTATTAGCAGACTCCAAGAAATTTCAACTCGAGCTTCATTTAACATATTTTTGTATGTCAAAAATTTGATATATTGAACTACATTACGATCCCCTTTGAATTCTATATATACGGGTTTGACTATATGTTTGAAAGATGTAGATCTGCAATCTGCACTTCAGTGCTGAGGCACTTTTGAGCATGATTATGCTATAAGGACTGTAGTGATCCCTTTCTTCCAAATGGATTTCCACGGTCTCCTACGTGCGATGCTGCATAATGTGGCGTGAACATGGGTTCTTTCACTAAGCGACAGGAGGATACACATTTCATTGCTTTGTGAAGCTCTCTCTTGCAGTTACCACAGCGACAAAGGTGAGCTGTGTCTCTGTGGCTGGCAATTTGGGCAGCTTGCGCGTGTCGTAACTTTGTGCAAACGCTCGGCGACCCAGGTACCGGCTGGTGGGGCAAGGGGACGCGGAGTGGCGCACGATCCGCGTGTACCCGGACAACGCCATCACCCTGACGATCCACAACCTGCAGCCAGAGTCCCAGTACGAGTTTCAGGTGCTGTCGCGCAACGCCTTCGGGGACGGACTCTACTCAGACATTGTGCGGGCCAACACGAGCAGTGAGAGCCCTTTTCGTGTCATTCATTCATGTATTAATTCTTTCTTTTTTCATAGTCACGGATCACTTATTCTCATGTTGCTTCGGAGATTCTGTTGTTCACAGTCAGAACTGTAAGGAAAAGTTGCCATCCGAACAAAAGCCACAGCGGAATCTGAAAGGTGTCTTCCTGATGCTGGATTAAGTAGATGGGAGGGATCATAAGATAGCATAATGACTCATGGTCTCTAGCACACAATCACCTAATGCTGTTGTTTTGTGATGTGTACAACTGCACACCCCATTTATTTACACTCGTACATCTAAGATGGCTGGAGATCGTATGGGCCTGACTTATGAGCTCTCTCTTGAAAGATAGGCTCCACTTTATTTTTGTCATTCTGGGTGCTGTGGCCTTACATTTGTAAGCTATGCATTCTAGTAAAAGTCAGTCCTTTTTTTCTTTTTTTCTTTTTTTCTTTTCTGGGGGACACAATTTTTAATGATTTGTGAGAGTTCTCAATGGAGAGTGTCCTCAATCTTAGTGTCCTCCACAGTTTTGTGAGAGTGTCCTTGTAGCACAGAGCAAGTGCTTACTCTGTCCCACATCAGCTGACTTGGGAAGCTTGTGGGTCCCGCTAATGGCAATGCCTTGTCCTTCTTGTCCTGACAGAGTGGAACTACATTGAGGGGGCTTACCCAACAGATGCCTATGGCTCCACCTACATCCCCACAGTGAACAGGACCCCAACAGGTAATGCCGCTCCTCCTCTTCTGTTTGCCTCCCCTTTGTTACGCTTGCCAGCCTTGTGAAAGAAACAAGAGAGTGGCATCGCACGCACATGCCGTAACGCTGACGTCACAAATACAGAATTTGGCTTCAATCTCATGCTGGGCTTGCAGGGCCGCACTTCTAAGACGAAAAATTAATACTGCAAAAATAGATGTGCACAGACACAATGCCATGTTTGTGCATCATGTTGACTGTACAGTACATCTTGTCACATACAGAAAGTTGTGTTGTCACCGTAAAGTGTCCTCGCATGGTGTCGCTTTTTCTTCTCCGATATATTGCACCTTTGGTCCGGCATCCCATGAGACTTAGCACTGAGTTGTGCCTTTTCATGACCGAAGGAGAGGCCTGACTGTCTTCCACTTGAAAGGTACAATTACAGGGCAAATGTATAGCCAGAACTCCTCAGCCAGTGGTGATGTATACTTGTTACGATCACTTGCATTTGTTTATGCAGATATGCATTTTATTGTTTTTGTTTCTCACGCGGTACTTTACTTTTAAAGATTGCTCGAAGAGTGATGTAGCCACATCTTGCCGCAGCTTGTTGTCATATTTTTTTGTTTTGTGTTTTGCACCTATGTTATGCCATTGACATATTTTCGGGGAAGATATAGGAACAATCTGTGTTTCTCTAGAGGCAACTGTTTTGATGATCCATCAAGCTAGGGCCCGGAGTTTAATGCATTCAATCCATAATTTCATATATTGCACTAAATTTTTTTATGTGCATGCACTTAAAACAGCGCTTTGTTTAAGCTGACTAACTAAATTTCTAGAGCTATTGGGCAGAGCATGCACAAAACGAGTGCTTTATACAGTAGAACCTCGATACGTTCTCGGTTGATACGTTTTCCTGGCTGTTCAGTTCAAAAACGTCGGTCCCGTTTTACTTCCATAGAGATACATGTATAAGTTGCCTGCCTGTTACGTTTGCTTTCCTGGTTTTTACGTCCACAAGCGTCGGCATCGTAGCGCCTCGACGCGCCGGGCGCCGAGCCGCCACGCTGGCTCCTAAGCGAAGCTAGCGGAGCGAAGCCTAACCATGCAATGCGGGTCGCATGGCACGCGTAAGCACGCCGATGCCCGTCTTCCCTTTACTCCTTTCTCCTTCTTTTCCATCTCTCTGTCTCCTCGCTTGGCTTTGCTCTTGCTGAGCTCTGCCACAGCTTCCCATCTTGCCCGGCTGTGACCTTGGAGCACTGCTCAGACGGGGAGCAAGGCTGGCGAGGCAGCAAACTCTCGTTCTCTCTTTCATCTGTCCTTTTATTTCTCTGGCACGGGGTGCACCCGCATGCACGCTGCGCTTCTAGTTTCTGTTCCGCTCAATCGCGTGAACCGTGGTGTTTTGGAGTATGTGCGCTTTGCGCCCATTGATGACGGTCATGGCACCGCAAAAAAGGAAGGCACTTTCTTTTAAAGAGAAGTTTGATATACCTCAGACGGTGTATCGCAATCCCAGCTGGAAGAGATCTGACATCGCAAGAGACCCCGGACTCGCGCCGTCAACTTTGAACAGCATCGTCACCAAATGAAAGGAGATCGAGGCGAAAGCTCCTTTTTATCAACCAGGCTTTAAAAAGGCTCGGGGGACAAAATACTCTAAGTTGGAGTGTCTGAGTACTCAACAGTTCTGTAAGTACACATAAAATAAACCATTGTATAAGAGCTGTTTTCTATCTCATGCAGAGCCCCCCCTAAGTGCGTTATCGATTGTCATGTTTTCCTGGATGATACGGTTTTTTTCCGTGGTCCCCTGAAAAACGTATCAACGAGGTTCTACTGTATTTACAAATTAATGAGGTTTTGAGTATTTTGGATTGTCAAGGGCTAGCTAAATAACGAACCACTTACTTGCTTTTCTTCCCATTATGTTCATAAATTGTGAGTGGAAGCAGCATTTCCATTTTCTGAAAGAAAAACACACCAGAAAAAGTGGATTTATGACAGTATCATCCAGCAAAGAACAGGTGTATGTACGCAGTTGCATACACTATCGGGTTTTGATTTGTTTGAAAACGATAGAGAAAAAAGGATTTAAAGGTGTACCTAAAACGGATTAAGTAATCTACACCCAATAATGTGGTGAATTGTTTATTTGTTCTACTAGATTAGCAAAAATTACTTAGCAGTTCTTGGGTAGTGCGAGGTGGAGGGTCCTCTTTCCCATTTGTAAACTAACTAGAAAGAAAACCCATCTGTCAGTCTAACTAAAGTATGGCCGTTCAGATTGCGACGTGGACGCGAATAATTATGAGCAATTGCTAAGGCAGCAGCAAAGGTCGAAAACGCAAGCTAATCAAGGACGAGACTAGACTTCCCACTCCCAGTTGCCGAAAGCCTAAACCACTACACACTGGAGCATTTTCCTAGGCCCTAGCTGTGGCAACGCGCCGCTTACAGCAGCCTGTAGAGACGTGCGCCTTGCGTAGCCTAGCTGCATGCCGCCCCCTCCAAACAGAGGGGCGCCCGGACCGTTGGGTGATGGGGCAGAGCCCCACGGCCTGACGCAGTGCCGTCCCCCGACCCCCCGTCCCCGTCTCCCCCGGACCTCCCCTCTCCTCCGCCCCCCACGACCACCCCAGGCCCCAAGCCGTCGGCTCCCCGCAACGTGACGGTGCGGGAGACCCCTGCCGGGGTGCTGGTCACCTGGGTGCCGCCCCCAAACAGTTCGGTGCCCATTGCCTTTTACTGCGTCGAGTACCGGTCCCCGGACAAGCCGTGGGCGCGGAGCACCAACATCATGACGGGCAGCGAGTACACCAGTGAGTGCCACTAGATCCCTTGGGAAGCAAGCCAGATATCTAGACAAGATACATACCCTACTACCGGTCGATACCAGACGGCAGAGTTTCAGAGCTTGGTAGTTGTCCGACTCAAAAGTTGCGGGCAGTTCTTGGAAATTTTCAGCGAAAAGATGGGGCTAGTCTTCAGTGGCAGATGCCGTACATCTCCATGGATCCATGGGCTTCGTGAGCAGCTGTGTTCTCATTGAAAATTTCCGTACTTAGTACTTTTTAATCGGATAATGGTAAGTTCGGACATTTTGGCATCTGCCTAGCACTATACTTGGGCGGAGACTGAACGTTCAGCAATGTATGGTTTATTTTTGTGCTTAAAAAAAAAACGCCGTAAACTTTCTTCTTGGACGTCCGTAATTCATAAGAAGGCTCGATACCATTGGTGTGGCACAGATAAGTTCCGCTGCGATCGCACCAAAGACAAAAGCTCGCCTTGCCCGGTTGCATGGCCGACGAATGTGTCTGTGCAGTCACGGACCTTCCCGAAGGGACCAAGTTCTACATTCGGGTGTCCGCCTTTTCCATCACCTCCGCCTTTGAGCCCAGCCCCGAGATACTGCTCACACTTGCAGGTGAGCCTCTCACTCCCTTTGTTATCACTAGAATGTCCTTCACACTAATGGTGCATGCAGTCACTTGGGGTACCCATTTGTTTTTCACTTGTCACAATTTTTTCACAATTCATCCCAACATAAAAAGAAATAATGTGTTTTTATTTATTTATTTATTCAACATACTCCACTGTGCCTAATGGTGTTTTCTGAGGGAAAGTAAAATCAAGACAGTATCATTTTGTGATAAAAGTGCTCACCATATTCAATCATTCGCATCAGTTCATCGCAACAGATGTAGGCACATAGCCCCCGAACTACCATATATTTAGTATTCTAAAACAGGTCAACCTTTCTATGAACAGACCTGTACGTCTACTTTCCCACAGAACCGACGGAGACCAATCTTTAAGACTTACGAAAGGAGCCGGCAAAGAAGGATGCAGAGATAATGTTTGGTATAAGAAAAGGTGTGATCCACACAGATCTCGTTTCTGTGTTCCGACATTATCGATGCCTCATCACTCGCTAGACTTCTTCCATAAATCACAATGTCTGGCTCTTCTTGAGCATTGCAGAGAAATACATGTGCAGGCATTGTTCATAAAGAGGTCGACCTATTTTCAAATAAATATGGGATCTTCCTGGCAATTCCTTTGCAATGAATTTTTCTCACTTGTCACGATTCAGAAAATTTCCATGGTATAAGTTGTTTACTGTAAATGTGCTAATTAATGTGACATAACTTACATATTGGACAGCTTACAAAGGGTCAAGAGCCAGAGTACTTCTGACAGTAAATTTTAGATTGTAGTCAAAATTGCCAGGGATCACAAAGAAATCGGAGAGTTACACACGTTGTATAAAACATGGGAGGTCGTTTCAAAGGGAGGACACTATACACAATTGCCTCAATCTTTAGTGGAGCAGAAAGTAGGCCTGCAGTCTTTACGTGGATAAAACAAAAAGGAGTAGCTGTGCTCTTGCTTAACTACTGAATTGGCTTCGAATTTCAAAAAAGGCTGACATACGTATAGTCGGAACATGTGTACGAGAATCAGCAATCGGGCTTTATGCGTAAACTTCTTGCTAATGAAGGCTCATTTTTTCTCTGTAATTGACAGATTTCATCTGATCATTGCATGAGGTCGTCTACCATTTGTCCGCCTGCTGTTGCCGCATAAGGATGTACCTCTGGTGACCTTGTAGACTGCATGTTCCTCTGAGAATAGATATTCTTAAAGAACTAGCACTTTCTCATTCGCGAGCTATGCCCCGGGTGCTGGCGGAATTTCTGGCATGCTTGTTGCGTGAGGGTCCCTTTCTCGGGGCATCATCCCAAGCGACGTGGGCACCTGCCCGTTTGGTGCCTGCGGGTAAGGCGGGGTGGTGCGAGGTGCCGACGAGGCGCGTTCCCCGCCAAGGGTGCTGTGTTTCAGACCGGGGCCCCAAGTACAAGCGAGACCAAGCCATCATCTCGGGTGTGGTGGGCGGCGTGCTCTTCTTTATTGTCGCCATCATCCTGTCCGTGTGCGCCGTCAAGATATGCAACAAGCGCAAGCGCAGGAAGGCCGAGAAAGGTGCGTGCCCTCTAAACACACCTTATGCTTTTCCAGATAAGTATATATATATTTTTTTAATTTCTTCAAGGAACGAGGCAAAACGTAAGGCGCCATGCCACCATTTCGATTGACTACGAAGTTTATGTTTACAACACGGAGCACTGCACTGCAACATTGCACTTTTCATGCTGGAAATGCCAGTACTATAGTCACCTTCAATCTACCGGTTAGTGGACTGGGTTGAACTTGGTTGAGGTGGCTACAACTTCATGGAAGCTCAAGGCAGTGCCGTCGCATGTCAATGTTTTGCTCACATTTACCATTTTCGACTGGTCGAGATTAATCTCCCTCCTTCACTGCAGACATCCGCCTTTGTTTCATCAATATTTTTCATTTATGATGTCGGCTTTCAATTCAAAGCAAACAATAAGCAACGATAAAATTACATGGATATAAATTTATATTGTTGTTGCTTAGGGAATTCAAAATCTGACATTCCATTTAGAACTAATGTGAGTTAAGTGTACTGGCTGAAACAGATTATAGACTTTTGAAGTTATAATGCAATATTTATGTCCATATTTATTTTTAGTCTGAAAGTGTGGCTTTTTCTGGCTGAAATAAACTAAATAAATTTTAGTCGAAGAGAGTGACGCAGCCAAAGATTCGATTTCGGTTTCTGATGGTGTCTAAGGCAAGATTGTGCAATATTATTTAAGTTCCCAGGAAACAAACAATCTAAAGCCGTTCATTAATGCTTCTCAATGCGAAACTGCCCATTATTCCAAAATTTTTTTAAATTGAGTGGCGTCGCCCTTTATGGAAAGAGGAGTGACGAACGTGACCCAACCATGTCGTCTTCTTGCAGCCTACATGATGGTGACATGTCCGGTGGCAGACACCCGGAACGGTGGCCACTCCCATGGCGGGAGTCCCGTGTCGTTGAAAAAGTAGGTACTCCCCTTTGAGGTTGCCCCGACCACCTTTTTCTGAGCCAGGTGCCTACTGGCAAGTAGGCCAGCAAGCACAGCCAAAGGCTCGCTGCTGTCAGCAGATTTTTTAGCACTGACTTGATTGTTTTCAGCTAGTGTTTCACAATGTAACCCCTTCCCTTTGCCTATTCTGTATTGCCATGTTTGTCTTAATATAGGACAACATTCTTTCCTGGCACATTTTTTTAAAATTAGGAATCGACTCATTGTCATAACTAGAAAAGGTTGATTCACTATGACGAGAAAATATTTGGAGCCTGTCGAGTTAGCCGAGATGCTCCACCGCATCGGCCGCTTCTCAGAGCATGACGATTCAACCTTAATTGCTACATGCAGGCTTCAATCATCTGAGTTTGTTTTACAGTGCTCAAAATGTTTGGAAACACTGCGCTTTCAACTGTCGTTCCAAATAAGGGGTTTGCTGAGTGAAGTTTTAACAGTATAATATTTTGAAGGCAAAGCTTTATTAGATGTCTAGGATTAGCTTTAGAACAGTCTTACATTGCCTCTGCCTTGTGAGACAAGATTAGTATTACACCCTATTTGCCTCTTCAAAAGATTCGTTTGGAGTGAATGATACAATGCGGTTCTGTTGTTTTGTCATAACAAAGTTGATAAAGCGTAAATGTGACAAGAATGTTAATCACACACAAACACTTGAGATATTTAAAGATTAAAAACTAAGTACCGAAGTTTTTTTCCAGCTAAATTAAAATGTTTGTGTCATGGTGCCGCAACACGCCATTATCGTATTCGCCACTATCAGCCTTTGGAAAACTTAGACAAGTCCGGCACTCAAAGAATAAATGGATTCCATTCCCTGGCACTGGGCTGGCTGCATGCATCATGACACATCATCTGGTGACGAAGATGGGGGCAGACAGACAACTGCCATCGACAGTGAAGGGTCAACGGAGCTACAAAGCTTTGGGGGGTATGTCGAAATTTTGGAAATCAGACGCCTACATGGAAGGCGGTGACGAGGACTTCAACTCATATATTGAGCAGTTCAAGCACTACTGGAAGGACAGCAGTGTCAAGAAGTCCGCCTTCATCACCGCCCTCGGAAAACACCCGTACAAAACCCTGAAGGATCTGCTGCTAGTGAAAAGACGGTGAGAGTGCAGGCGAGCTGGTGGTAGCCAATCATGTCGTATTACACCTGAGACTGCGGTGGAAGAAATCGGAGGAAATCGGAAGAACTTTCAGTAGAAGGAACAGACACAGAGAACGTCTCAAACTCAGCTAACTGGTTTTGGAGTTGCCCTTATTTGCCCTTATTTGCTGATAAGATTCTTCGGGAAACCAGCAAAGACAGAGTACTGTCCAAGGTACTGTAGTACAAGGAAAATGGATGACCTGCAAAGGCAAGCGGTGATGAGCTATTGCCATATTTTGCGAGACGTCATGAACTATCGCTTGAAAACGACTGCATCACTTGGGAAATCTTGTGGTCATGCCGAGTTCTCTGCAGCATTCTGTGTTGCTACTTTTACATGAGGAGCACCTAGGCGGAACTCGAACGCTTGCACGAAGCCACATCTGGTAGCCAAAGCAAACTGAGGACATTGAGCAAACTGTAAGGGAGTGTCCGGCTTGTCAGTTGACTCAGAACGTTGCGCCGTGCCTTCCCGTAACATCTTGGGGGCGGCCATCATGACGCTGGCAAAAGATCCACCTGGGCTTCGCGTACAGCAATCCTCAATGGTTGCTCGTGCTTGTGGATACATACTCTAGACGGGTCAAGGTTGTCTGCATGACTTCCACAACTGCTCAAAACCGTCGAAAAGTTGCACACCTTTTTGTCAGCTTTTGGACTACCAGAAGAAGTGCCGTATTTACTCGCATAATGAATACTTTTTTCCTTAAAAGATTGACCCATATTTGGAGGGTGTGTTGATTACGCGGGGTAAAATTTTTCATTTATTGACTTTGTGCAAATGTCATATTAGGTTGCATATTCAAATGTCATATTAGGTGCAAATGTCGTATTATCGGGTGGATCGGTGGCCAAGTGGGCCAGCACACACCAGCTCGGAGCACAGGGAGTGAAAGCTCCTGCTACAGAACCCAGGCGCCTGGGTTCAACCCCACCCCTGCCCGTTTCGATCTGGATGAGCATCATACCGGCGTGCGGTCGTGTATCACTACTTAAAGACCCCAGGCTAGCGGTTGTGCTCCGCACTGGCTAAATTCCTCATCACAGCCGGGAGGCTCGTCGCCTGTTGAGGTGGACCAAGTTCTAGGCTGTGTAAACATACACACAACCCAATTTTTTTTTTCATATTTGGTGTTGATCTGACACGGCAAGGTACTGTGGTACGTCTCCACTGATGGAGTCATACCCACGGCTGGTTGGGGGCGTGCCCCAGTAACCATGCTTTATAAATTGCAAACCTTTTTAGGGCGCTTTTGGCGCACCTTTTGTCGAAAGAAAAGTACCCTATGAAGCTCACTCAGCACGGAGAGCAATGCAACCATTCTTAGGCCTAAGCACTAACTTTCACGATTTCACTATCCGAAAGTGGACCACAGACGACGGCGTGTTTGTTGACATAAGTGCGTCCGATAGATGAAGAATGTCTGGGGCTAGGCAATTCCTTGACCCAAGCTTCAACAAGTGCGTGCGCCATTCGGTTTCACGGTTGATCACTTCCGCAACTATGCACTTGCAGCCATTACGAGAGCGGCTTGGCTTGACTTGGCCTGACTGCTTGGTGGCAAAAGAAAATTGGCTTAGTGAGTTGGACGCAATTCGGCTGCAAAACGCAACATTCTGGAGCCCTCTTCGACAAGCCTAGAAGACCGAAGACAACTAGAAATAACAGCACCGCAAGCATAAGTTTACGACAGCAGTCTCCCGGAAGCTACCCTGGCTTTTGCCCAAGGCCTCAGCGAGTTGTGCTAGAACACAGTGTCACCTGATCCAGTACCGCTTCGTTGAAGCACAAGAGTGTCGCGACAGCCGGAACGCTGGGGTTACAATTAAAACAGAAAGCGGCGAGGTGTTGTGTCATGGTGCACAACTTGCTCTTATCGTACATGGATAACAGCTGTTCGTAGCCCCTGAAAAACCTAGATAAGCGCGGCAGTGGGAGGATAAACGGATTCCGTTCCCTAGCACTTGGCTGGGTGCGTGTCTCATGACACATCAAAAATCTGTCCTAGAAGTGCAGTAACTCAAAATTGGGCTTTATAGAATTGTTCTTTTGGAAGAAATCCTGCTTTGCCTTGGTCATAATGGGACCTATGGAGGGCAAAGGGAGCCTGAATTTCTCGCCTGTGAATCTTTAGTATTAACATACTAACAAAATAACATCTAGGTGTGCTTTTTTAATGGCTGCACTGCTACAAAGACTTGTTCATAAAAGATGTTGGCAGCTGCATGCAGTTCTCAGCACAGCAGTAGATTATCTTATATTGGCACCCAGTTTTGGAGAGCATTGCTGTGCATCAACAACCATGTTACTGATCGTCGGTGTAGAGCTTAACGCAACCAAAGCTCCTCCCTTTTCCTTACATTTAATGTTACCGCAACTGAAAGCCTTCTGTGACCAACCCCCTTCCAGAACAAAATGGATGAGTTGAAATGAACCTGGTTCCTATGGCAGCAATCCCTCACTTTCAGAAATCGCTGGGTGGGTGGCTCTGATAGGGAATGCTAGCTGGCATATTTTCGTACCAAAAGCTCTAGAACCATGAATTCTTGCGGTGTTGTATTTCCTCAAGCCTAATCGGCTTGCCATAGTGGTAGCTGATGTGCCGGATACTGTGCATGCTGGTAATGTTACTAATCACCAGCTTATTCTCATAGTTGCACCGCTTAAATCAAATGCCTAAAAATGTGATGCACTCTTGGAGCAACGAGAGTTGAGGTCGGAGTGTGCAGATGGAGGATAAAGACAAAAAGAATATGGTTTTTCTTTGTGTAAGCTGCTCACAACAAAAAGATGTGTGGCCATTTCAAAAGTAGCCAAAAAGTTCACTCTCTGCTGCATGCGTGGCTGGCTGTAACTAATCTTAATTTTTTTCTCTGCTCTTGCCACCAACGGAGGAAAAAAGGTAAGCTGTATGTCGCATTCTGCACTAAAGGGAAGATTTCTTTGCGGCAGCATGGTACTACTGCATGTGTTTATGTCGCTGGGGCCTAACCTCTTTTCACCACCAAACTGCCTTCTAATGGAACCAAAATTTTAGTTCGCCTGCATGGTTATCCCACTGATAGTGCATACTATCTACCAGCAGAAAAAACCTGGAAAGGGAAATTTAATCAGCCTCGAAATATTGAAGTGTATAGCCATAACCTTACGAGAGTGAGAGGAATTCGAGGGGGATGTTACTTGATTGCATGTGCCCTTTGCCATGCACCTTCTGTTCAGAACACATCTTTTCAGTGCACCCGTAGCTCTATCAGCATTCCTTGAAACTCGCCTAGACATGGGCCGGGCTTGCAGGCTGAAGAGCTGGCGGAAGAGGGACGATCTGTTCAGCCCGAGGGCAAATGGCCCCGGCGGTTGAGTGCGTAACTCAGCCAAAAGTGTATCACTTTCATGAACACGAAACACTTATGGGCTTTAACTAGGCATGTGCAAATAGTGAATTTTGAGTTCGAAGCAAATGCAAATGGTTTTGGCCAAATATTCTCGAATCAAATGTTGAATAGTTCTAGGCCTTTCACCACTGCACCATGCTTAATGAAACGAAAACCCAGCTGGACTTGTGAAGGCTGTTCCAAAAATTTCACTTGGCCATTTCTAAGCTGAATTAATTTTAATCCAACTATATTTATGGACAGTGGCCTCAGAACGTTGTATGCCGATGCAGGGTTGGCAAGTAAACGACACGTTTGACATAAAATTAAGCCTAGAGAGATTCCCAGCTAGTATACCTAATTGATGTGATTTATAAATATTCTTACTATATACAATTTTTCAATTTTTTTTTTTTCAGTCACGATTGATGTTTTTTTTTAATGCGAAAGCATTAATTGTTTCATGGAGCGAGCTGACGTCATCAGTTTGAAGCACAAAAACGGCACATAGTTTTCTCGATCCTTCGGTTCCTTTGGCTGGCGTGCGTCGACGGGGCTCCCATTAGCCGCTGCGCTCGTCAGTTTCCACGACCGCTCACCCCATGGCGCTGCGTGTCCATCAGCGCGCCGTTGCTCCCTTGGGCACGGAGCGTACCCAGGGGAGCACACGCCGTACCCAGGGGAGCACACGCACTGACTGGCGACGAAAAGTGCGCAGCAGACGATAAAGGGAGCGGACGAGCGGCTTGCATGCTTTTGCATTCACAACCCATAAGAAATGCTTACGTGTACCTCAATTTTTTTTTTTTTTTTTTTTTTTTTTTTGTATTTAGCTGCGCATTTGCACCATTCTTGAAGCAGTGGGTTTGGTGGCAGAGCAGAGAACATTCTTTCATTCTGTCCTCAATAACCTAAACAGAAGGCAGGTGCATGCACAACAAGCATGCGGCATTTGTGGCACGCTTAGCACCAGTCGTTCCAGCACGAATTCTGCACTGTTTGCTCCAGACACGCAGCTGGCAGCTTGTTTACTTCCCTTTTTACACTCGTGACAACACTTGCACCTTGTGGTATTTTTGTGCAGTCCCTAGTCGGAGCTTTTCCATGTCATATAGGCAAAGTCTCCTGACCAGAAAGGTGTTGAAAGATACCGGTTCTACCAATCAGTTGGAAATCTTGCGAATATGAAGCGTGTTACGGTGCTTTTGAATTTGCACGACGTTCTCAACCAAAATGCCACACAGTCACCATTGTTGGCGGTTCTAAACATTCTTTTTTGACCGAGAGTTTACTGGAATTTCCGTAAAATATTCGGCAAAGACCCAGAAAAGTAGGGGAATTTGAAACAAATTATAATCCAGGGAGCCAGGATTATAACTTCGTCCCGATACACACTAGTCCGCCAGAGGATGTATAAACTAGTTTGATTTTTGGTCTGAGTGGAAGGCTAATCGAAGAGCTAGAATAATTTTGCTTTCTTCAAAACGTGGAGTAAAGCCGCTCCCACAAAAAAACACGAGAGCTCGTTGGAACGTGGTTCCGAGCCGCCCCCCAGCGTGACGCGAGCGCCCCGACTCGCAGACACCCGCAAGGCCGAGTACCAGGTGTAGCGCTGGCTGGGGGCCTGAGCCCTCCTCCCTGGTGGGGCCCTGAGCGGCCCCTGGCGAGCAGCCCCAGCGCCCAGCCGGGGCCCTTCCCGGACGACCTGAGCCCCGTGGCAGCGCCGGCCGACCGCTCCCTGCCCAGCACGGCCAGCGCCGCCTTCTCCAGCGTCCCGTCGCAAGAGCCCCCGCGGGGCTTCCGCCCCATCCACGCCCCGGCAGGCCCCCGTCGGCGGCCCCCCGAGCGGCCCCTGGCCACGAGCAGCCCTCCGGACGCCAGCTACACCCGCGAGCGCCTGCTGGGAGCGGTGCAGCGGGTGCGCTGCTCGGGGCGGGCCCTGCGCCACAGCGCCCCCGAGCTAGGGCCCGAGGCGAGCGTGAGCAGTGCCTCCTCGGGCCGGGGCAGCTCGGCCGCCCGAGGCGACTCGCTGCAGGGCGAGCGGCCCCCACCCCGGCTCGACCAGTCGGTGGACGAGAACTACGAGTTCGACCCCGCCCTTAGCCCCGGCGAGGAGGAGGATGCGGCCGAGCACGGCCTGAGCGACAGCGAGCTCTACGGCAGCTGGCACGCCGCCTGGGACAGCGCCGAGGCGCGCTGCGCCGCCCTCAAGCGGGAGTTCCTGCGGCGGCGGCGGCCCCTGGAGAGCGCCTGCTAGCCGTGCCAAAGACTCCTTCCTAGTCATGGAAGCAATAAGCCCTCAGGGACCCAGCTGAGCTCAAGCGGCAATGACAACCCTGTACAGACCCACCCCCGTGAGGGGGCTCCGTTCGAAGCCACTGCTGGCCCAGGAAGCCACTGCCTGCCCACAAACTGCCGGGGAAACGAGAGAAATGCAATTTTCGTGCGTGTCACTGACATAGTACAAGCTTTGTCCTCCGAGGTTGGGTTCCTTAGTAGCTCCCGCGCGTATTTCCGGATGTCCCGTCCGTTTGGCCGCGGAGGTCGCGAGGCGGGATCTACGCGCGATATGCATGTACATACCAAACACACGAGACACGGAGCTGTATAACGTTAGTCCCCAGAAGCACAGAATCGTAGACACCAAACTTATTTTACAGTCACACGTGTACCATAATACCCAACACACTCACACGCCACAGGTAACCGAGACGTAGGGGAACACGGTAGCTCTCTCTGTCCCGCACGTGCCCGGAGCGGGGGGGGACCGCTCCGGGTGCGGCCGCACATTCCAACCTCACAATAACGAGCTGCGTCTGCCTCCCGCCGTTCTGCAACGAGAGCCGTTCTCCTTTTTCTCATGCATCGAGGCTTTCGCAAAGTACGGGAGAGCCGTTGAGTTTGTATTTAAGTGTTTCCCGCCCGCAGCATTCATCGCTCAGACGTCGGTAGGCCACTTTGGAGTACTTGCGCTTTATTTATGAGATCCGTGCCCAGGATCTTTGGGGGTGTGCATGATTTGGGAGTATTTATTTGTGTTCTAGCGTGTCTTTTGTGCAGGCACATAGACTCGTTTGTGGCGCCTCGTCTAGGTGTGTCCTTTTAGGGCGGTAGCTGCTTGCCCCGCTCCTGCTCCGTACGCAAGATGGGTTCTTACGTGCGCGCAGTTTGATCTGTTTGTGGCATTTGTCAGCAGTGAAATCCTCTACTCTGCTGTTACAAAATAAACATGGTTTCTACACACCGCTTTGTCCAAACGCTTCGGCCAAGATGGGAGCAGAACAGTGATGGAGGGTGCTCGCTGCGACAACAATGTTTGATGCGACGAATTTGGATGAAACACCGCCGGTATGGTGCACGCTTTTCTGATGGCTTGAGGTGTTTAGACCGATGAGAGGTGTTCCTTGTTGAGCCAACCAGTTCTTTTCCATCGTCTCTTCAATTTGTTAAAAGGAATAGGGTTTTGTAGAGTATTGTACAAACACTACTTTGTGACGGCTTTATTTATTTTATTTTTTTCTTATACATACCACTGCCGGTCTGTGAGGCACCTCTTATTTGGCTCAAATGCCTGGCAGAACTAGTTTATTGGTGGGGCAAGGGACGGAGCATTTAAAATCTGTCGCGTCTGTAAGCATGGCGCCACAATTGACAGGGACGGTGGACAGAAACTGAGAGAAGAGTTTTAAATTAATAGACAACTGTAAATTCTGGAAGGTCTCTAAACAATTCAAGGTTTTTTCTAAAATCCTTTTTATCAACAAACACAATTTGCAAAATAACTACAGAAAGAAATGGGAGCATGCATACAGCACTACGCTAACATTTCTTAGTAGTGTCCCTCTTGCTCTCCTTTGGTTTTCACCAAGGTCTGTACATTTCAGTTGATGCTGCTTGTAGCACAGGTGAAGAAGGGACTCCTATAATCTGCTTAGAAATGCAGGTAGTCTCACAGATACTTGGAGTTTGTGTACAGACGCAGAAATTACTATCATGATTGGCGATAGCTTTGCTGCAGAGCACGCTCGCACTGCAGGGAAAGCCAACCTGCTCAAATGTGTGACCGCATCGTGTGCTCTCAAATTACTCTTCTTCAGAGAATGTCATTGCTAACATTCAGGATTGCTCTAGATTCATGCAGATATGCTGCGAGCAGTCTCACTGTTTTACATATGCTAAGCCATTCTCAAAAAGTAACTTATTTGCCTGGAGGTAGGCACTGCTTAGCTAGAGCATTGCACGGGCCTACTTTGCAACGCCCGGCCTGGGACTGCCAGCTCTTAGTCTTGCCCTACCCGGACCCACCCCGATGGGATGCCTACCTGTTCGAGCCCGGCCCAGTGAAGAGGCCGAGGCGTGCCTCATCTCGAAGCTGCCCTTGGAAGGTGTTGCTGCATTTGGTTTGCTTAGCTATTATTTGCATGGAACACGCTGTCAAAATGCTATGTTTCGGCACAAAAATGTGAATGCCAACTGGAGATTTTAATAGCACTTGTTCAAAAGATGAAACGTTTCGTGACATAGAGCACATACACGTCGCAGATTCTACGCAGTTCAGTATGAACTGAAGTTGCGATGGATTAAAGATGTTCAGTATCTATGTGTGTGCCGGTTTGCATTCGGCTTTTCCATTTCTTTCAAATTTAAACAATCATTGCGTGCACTTTCTTCTCATTGTTTTACAAAGTGTGCTACACCATTGCTCAAGCCCAGCATGGTCCCCGAAAGAATCCGTGCAACCCGGGCCCGGCCCGAAACCGGAAACGATTCGTACCACCTGGCTCGGGCTGCCCTGGCACCATGCAGAGCTCTGGCCTGAACCATGATCTTAAAAGACTATAGTATTTATAAATTATTCTACAAAAAACTTCAGCTCGGAGCAATGCTGAAAATATTGCAGTTTACGGCACTCATTCAGTTTGCAGACCAGCACAATTTTGCAGCTCTTTCCTATTTTTGTCTCGACATGACTAGTGGCATCGGAATGGGAGGGTGGAAAGGAGGGTGATCGGTATCCCAGATAATTCAGAAATTTCTAGCGAGGGGGAAGAGGGAGGAAATCCTTCGCCAACCTCCAGGCTTACCCAATCTACCAAGTACTTCCAACACCTCTGAACGTGACTCACTTTGGCAAGATATTGCCCCTTTCCAATTTCAGTTTGGATCATTGTTATCCTGGCACGCATTCCTGCAGTTACCATACTGTGTGATGCACGGTAAAGACCCCCAGGTCAGCAGTTCAAAATGTAAAATGGACAACAAAATTCTTCAACTGGACGTAGTAAGCCGACAAGCACAGATGGAGCATAGTCAAGTTCACCTGCACTTAACACTGCTTTCAAAGTACTTATTGATACAAGTGGTGGTGTTTTTGGAGGAACACAACAGCTTAAGACAAGATTAGTGCGAAAAACAAGTGGACTGGAACAGTTCTATTGAAAGCATGAATAAGTGTGTTTTCAATAAGTGCATCCAATCTATTTCTACTAGTCCCTTGTGCTATCTGGAATTCCTGTTGAACATGATTGTTCACGGTTGCATCCCTTAAAACAAAACGTTGGTATTTAATAGAAACTGCAAGATCTTTGCATATTGTACGGGGAAAGTTCAATGATGTCCTCGCTCTCCTGCTCTTACAATCTTCTTGTCCTTGGGCGACGACATATAGCAACCTTGTAGATCCGTTAACAAAGCCAAGTGGAACATTTTATGACTGGATCATTTTCCAAATTGGTGCAAGGGAAGGGTTCACTACGGTTGATTGAACACCATTTCATTGAAACATGTTTTAGAGAAGAGGGACTATTTTCGACGAATGTTTCGTTTCTCCAAAGAAGAAACTAAAGTGACTTTATCGCATCTGATTGGTTAGAGGCTCAAATGACGAAAGTTCCCACTTTCGTCATTTGAGCCTCTAGCCAATCGGATGCGATATCCTCACTTCTGTCACTTCCGTTTCTTTTTAGGAGAAACGAAACATTGGTCGAACATAGCCCCCCAGGTATGTTTTATCAAAGTTTGGTTTAGGAAAAGCGGAGCCTCAGTTTAAAGAAATACCGTTTGTCGAAAAAGGGACTCTGCTTAAAAAAAGGCTCCCCTACTTCACAATGATCACTGGGGCACACATTAACCCACCCGGCACCCCCGTTAATGCCGCTTGGCGGCGACGGTCTGCGACAGCTCATTACAAAAATGTTAACCGTGGCCGAATCTCTCATTGCCATTTTCTCTAAATTGCGCGTCTTTATAAGGCGATTCGATAAACTGGGGTTGGTAGAATGACGTTCACTAAAACTATCCTCTAAACTGCATGCCCTCTGCAAGGGAAGTTGGCTAGAATACGAGTGCCATGGGCACATCTGCTAGTTCCTGTAGGCTCCATCAAGCTTGTTATCTGGACTGAGCTGCGCAAGATCTGACTTTCGCCACTGCTACCACTAAATGTACTTGCCCTAACGAGTTTGTACAAAAATGCCTAGACTAGCACAAAAAAAAAAAAAGAAAAGGAAAAATCCTGTGCCCGTAATATCCTGAGATAGCCCATCAAAAATTGAAAACAAATCGGGTGAAAATAAAAAGGGCTAACTTTCCACGTTTGATCAAAAAAATTAAAAAAAAAAAAAAAATGCTAGTTTCATGTGACCCCCGAAACGTGCGATTGCAGGGACTCGGAGAGGTAATGAACCAGCTAGGTACGACTCTTTCCCAGTCGGCAATGTCCGCTTATCTCCCATCGTGGCCAAGTAACATCATTTCTGCTGAGGTCACCATTGGCCCAAAGGCCCCCTGCAATCACTATACTCCGTTCAGCTGAGACCGCGGTGGGAGCTATGTGCCCACTGGACCAGTCGGTTGCCTCCCTCTTATCGCCTGATTCGGCTCTCCGTGTGTGGGTATGGCCAGGAGCGTGATGACATGGCAAAAGAGAGGCCTATGACTGGTCCAACAAGTAGTAGCTCCCACCGCAGTCTCAAGTGGGCAACATCTTTTAGTGTTTTTGAAAAAATAGGTAATCGTGCTAAAAATAGGGGTGAATTATCTTTCAGGGGTGGGGACTCTCTGGGGATATTATGGGACTCTTATATCCATATTAGAGCAATTTTCAGCATGCTCACTCAGTTGTAGACATCCGAAATCCATTTTAGACAGTAATCTTTTTCATAAAAAAACTTGTACATCTTGTTGCTTAAAAAGCTTTCATATACATTTGGAGCAGTTTCTAGTTTGCTCTTGACATAAGAGAAAACGTGAGGGTATGGGTTAGTTGTTAAAGGCCTGCCATTTGTGCAACTGTGCACTTGGAGAAATGTTGTGTGCCTAATGGAAAGTGCTAAGAAGGACACTTGTTCATAACCATAAATGTGATGTTCCCATTATTCGTTCATTGGTCTTGAGCCTCACCACAAATGGTTAGTTAAGTTTTAATAGTTGAGTCAATACAGTTGGTTACTTTGAAGGTCCCACTGTTACGTCAGCAACCATGTTTCACAGCAGCAGTTTCTCGCCATAAGCAGAACTGGCATACATGTTCAGTCAGGATGCCACAGCAACGTGATGCACTCCATAACCATTCGCGGCAGTGCAGCCACGAGGGACTCTTCAAGGCTACTTCCCAAAGCTCATTATTGGAAGGTTAACTACATGGAACCTATCAGTCGCACAGAAGTACAGTGCAATTTTGCAACTGCTGGTAGCAGATGGCCAACGGTGCAGAAGATGACAAACACATTTTTCAAGCGTTTCTTTTTTTCTTATTCTACTTTTTTCAGACTGATCATTAGAAACCCCAGCAAGACTTTTTTTCTTGCAGTCGCAAAAAGTTAACTGTATCCATACCTATTTTTATGGCCTTGTGCGTCAGATACTTGGTGCTGACGAGTTTGCTGGAACCTGCCCGTTTTCTTTGTGGGCTGGTACACATGTAATATCAAGGTGGGACCAAGGCAAGCTTGGATCTTTGTGGAGCTGTTCACTGCAAAAGCAAACGAATGATGAGCTCTGCTTTCTGACAACATGCTGTCCGGCTCTAATGCGCGTTCTGTACCACATTCTTTTGGGGCACTGGCACACTACAGATGTAAACATTGCGAATATGTGATACAGAAGCGTCTATACAGTAGTGACGAGCATTTTCAGATTGTTCCTAGGGCACCCAACGAATGAGTGGCGTAGTGCCACGTGATTGGTTGCATCACCCTGATGAGTTGCCACGACATGTCGGTTTCAGGCCACCGCGATGAACACCACGAGCTTGGACGGAGCATTCCATGTCACACCTGTTTCCGCTTGGTGGCCACCTTCTCGGGTACTTGAGCCTGCATGTAGCGATGCAGGGTGGCGTTGTGCCTAGCCGAGAGCAGCACGTCGTCCACCGATACCGTCGCCCTCTTAGCGTGCTTGGCGAGGGCCTCGATATCCGCGGCGGTCCTAGCCGCGTGCTTCCAAACGAGTTCGGTGAGTGCGGCCACCACGGGCCGCCCGACGACGGTGCCTTCGGCCTGACCGACGGCTGACCCACCGTGTAGTGCACTGCAGCCTTGAGGCACATCTCGCGGCTAAGCCGATCTTCTCGGCTCATGCTTTTGTCTCTTATACAACGCAGGCTATTTCTACCACCACTACCAGTTTTAGTTCTGCCGAACTCAAATCAAATGTCAAATCCCGCTGTCTGTAAGGATGGCTTTGGCTTAGCTCGGGTTGGCTCTGAAAGGCATGCGCAGAGCGCGTACAGTGAGCTAGAGCGCGTGCCGTGGCGACAGTGTGACAGTGTTGCCATAAGGGTGCTACAGTCTACGCTCATTACAACAAACCTGGTTACAACAGACATTTGGATATAACATAGGGATTTGTGAAGTTTGGTCCGTTTTTCTCTACATACCATTGACTCCTTTTCATATCTGCATACAACATACTCCTAATCTTGGTCAAAATCAAGGTCTGTTATAACGAGCTTAGACTATGTCCACATTTGTGCATGCATTCAAATTTTTGTTGCATGCAATAAACATGTTTTTGACAATTGGAATGTTTTAGATTGACTGTACAAAGTATAAATTCAACATATTCAGAATTTTTTGGGTCGTACCTAGTAATCATCGAACTGAGAAAAATCCTACCGATTCTTCAGATTTAAGTAAGACCCCAAGAGTGCGTGACAGAGGGAACAATTCTCCGTGCCTCTAGTGTCTAGAAGATTTGAGTTTACTCTTACCCCGAGTGTCAAAAATAAGGAGGCCAAAATGACCATGCCCATATTTGGAAAGGAAGGCTGGGGAGGAGGAAACAGAGGGATTGCTCAAGAGGAGAGGAGGAAACATCCCTCTCGCTTCATCATTCCACCTGCTCCTTTCTTCCCAGCCTTCCCTTGCCCTGATCTCTTAACCTGTCATCGACACTAGTTAGTCTCGCCCTAGATCACTAGCAAACATTCTATGTCTAATGTTCGAGATGTCAAGTGTAGAAGATAAGGAGCTGAGCGTGGCTGTGTCGACTCGCAGAGAGCTGTCACGCTGGTGCATCATCGCTCGCTGCTGCCGCCGTCGACGCTTATCATTTCGTTTTTAGGCACAATTTCGCCGATTAAATCTTCATTTTCTGTTATGTGCTTGTCGATCTGTTTCCATCTGCGACAATATATAGGGTGTTTGAAATAACCAGGTTTGATCTAAAATGGGCCATAAAAATCGGCGCCTGCACGTAGCAATAAACTTTTTAATGCGAAAGCATCAACTGGGGGTCTCATAAAGCAAGCCGACGTCATCAGTTTGAAGCGTGAAAACGGCACCTAGTTTCCTTGATCCCAAAGGTCCCATTGGCTGGTGTGCGGCAACGAGGCTTCCATTGGCCGCTACGCCTGTCAGTTTCAACGACCACTGCATGTCCGTGCCGCCGGCGTGCCGGTAAAACTAATTGCCAACCCGCGCCGGTTAAAACAAACACGTTGGTGCGTGCTTGGAGGCTTCTGCTCGTCTCGCCGCCGACCAACATGCCGTCGCCTCCACCATCCACATCGTCGGCGGTGCTTCTGCTTGTCTCGCCGACGACGAACATGGCGCCGCCTCTAGCATCCACATCGTCACCGGTGCTCCTGCCACAACTCGAAAACATTGCTCGTGCCACAAAACTCAGTGGATCACTCGCGGCGTTTTATTGGCGAATTCACAACTCGTAAGAAGTGCTTAGGTGTCTTCCGAATTTGCTCTTTTGACAGAGGTGTATTTTGGAGGTCGGTTTTATCTTGTGAAATTGCAAAGCACAGCTCCCTTTCTGTAGAAAATAGGGCCAAATTCCTTGACAGGGTCAACGGCGATGCAGACAACAGAGTCGAGGGGCGGGGCACATTTATGGATAGATGGCGTTGGGAGCACCATCAGAATAAAGCGCTGGGCTATCCCGACTTATTCCAAGTACCGCCACCGTTTGATCATGTCGCGGGCGCTCCTATTGGATGCTGGCGACGCGTCGCCATTTTTGGCTCATGGCATATCCCACATCCAGGCACGCACACTCACATTGGTCTGCTGTGGCTGCCGGTGATGCACTGCCGTTTGCAAGCACGCTCTCATGTGGAGCGCAAATTCGTCTGCTTGTACAGGGTGTGTGATGGTGCTGGAACGCTGAGCTCTTATTGGCTCATTGGAAAAAATAGTGGGTAGACCTTAGGGCATCTAGCATTGATGTCAAATCGATCAATCAAAGCTCGGTGTCGTTCTGACGTGCGCCAAACGCGTCCCGCCAATTGACTCAGTTGTCTGCGTCGCCGTCTGCCGTTGACCCTGGCACGTTTTTAGCCCCATTTTTTACAGAGAGGGAGCTACGCTTTGTAATTTTTCAAGATTAAACTGACCTATGAAATAGACATTTGACGAAAGTTTAGATTGCTAAGTGCAGGCACTGATTTTTACTGCCCATCTTAGATCGGGCCTGGTTATTTCATACACCCTATACTTCAAATAAAGTAAAAGTTTTATGAACCTACTTGAAGTAGTACAGGGAGTTTCCGAGAAGCCAGAACCATGCTTTTTGGCCAGGGCAAATAAACTATGTATCGCAGAGGGCTCCAACTCCGTGAGAATCTGATGCTGGCGGTTGGGATAAAACGCTGAAGTTTCAGAAAATGATGTTGCCTTGATCAAAAGATAATTGAGAAAAACAAAATTTCAATATGAGCCGACACCCACCTAAGCCTAATATTGTTAAGAAAGGACACTGCGGGACCACAAAAGTTTTCAGCAAGAAAGAGGTTATTGTTTTGAGTATAGCTATATGCACGAGCTCGTGCAACTTGACTGGAAATGGCTATACGCACGACACATAGAGCTCATGCCATATGGGTCACCCTTTTCGAAGGGCACGTGTATCACTGGGGAGCGTGTTAACCCCCCACCCCCACCTGTGTTCACGCCGCTTCGCAGCGACAGTCTGCGGCTGCTAATTACAAACCTATTAACCCACTTGGCCTCTTATACACGCCGCTTCGCGGCGTCCAGCCGGCAAACCAAGCCCCGCTGTCCTTCATTGCACCTCCGGAAAGGGAGTCCCATTTAATTTAGTTCTGCGAAGTTTCGTCGACAACATTTGTTTTGTTCAGTGATAGTTAAAAAAGAAATGCCGTAAATATAGTTAAATGCTCAACCAAAAAATAAAAAAATAAATGTTAGAAAAAAAAAAGGTTTGTGGGATTGAACTTGGGTTCGCTGCATATGCATCAGACAACTAGCCATTTCCAGTTGAGTTGCACGAGCTTGTGGATAGATTTGTTTGTTTTTTTTCTTACTGAAATGGAATGACAATTTTTGGATAGCAAGTTTTACCAAATCGGTTCTCAGCTTATGGGAGTGCTTCCTCGACGAATCGATTCTATGGGATATTTTTGCATTCTATAAAACTCGCTATCCAAACAGAAGTTCACCATTGTTCATTCAACAGCATGGCAATCGCACAAACTGCACAAGACCGCGATGTTTTGCAGAACACCGCTAAAAAACACGTAACGTCTAATAATAAAAGAAACCTTAGATAAAAACAAAATTTAACGCGCAGATAGCCATTAAATAAGGTGTTTCAGCAATCGTCAGATAGCCCCAGAATAAAACCTGTATTTCAGCCACTGCGTTCGGCCTCACACCATTTCCTTCGCCCTCAGGTAAGCGTTCCACTGTTCCGGTATCTTCTTGAACGTCTGGATCTTCTGCCGGATCTGTGCGGGCGTCTCTTGGAAATAGTTTTTTCGGTCCCTAGCCATGGCCACGTAGTCTTCGTCGTACTTCTCCAGCATGTAGACGCAGAACTTGACGTTGTCGCCAGATAGACGCAGCGTGTTCGCCGTCGGTTGCGACGCTTCTTCTTCGAGTTTCTTCACGACGATTCGCTTGGGTGCTTTGACCTTTTTGCTGCTGCCCGCGATCGAAAGGGCTTCGTTGGGGTCGGCGGCGAGACCCATGTCCCGCAAGTTGTCGTAGACGCCTTTGGTCTCCTCCCAGGCCTCTTTCACGGGCACACTTTGGATCTTGATCCTACGCTTGGCCTTCTTCTTCAGCTTCTTCTTACGATTTATGCTGTAGTTGTAGCGGTTTTTTCTTTTCTTTGTAGTTTTGGCGTTCCCCATGTTTCGCCGGGTTACAGGACGCAACTACAAATAGGATGGAAGACCCCAAGCAGTAGCAACACGTGAAATCGCCACAAACACGAGAAGCGTCCAACGCGAGAAAGGCTTGGCGCTTGGCTTCGAATCCAGAAAACAAAATTTGACTTCTGGATTGGATTGCACAGGGTTAACCGAACCAAATCAAAATTGGTCGTTTTGGTACTTTTTTTTCTTTCTCGGAGTGCCCTGGGTGCATGCAAACAAGAGGGGAGAAGTGCCGCAATACTTTGTAGAAACGTATAAAAGTTTGTGATATTTTTAAGTATTACAGATTTTACGAAAATTAAATGTATATTAAAAAACACGACAAAGTACGACAGTCATAACCAATTGACTTACAGCGCCAGAACCGCCCCCGATCACAAAGCGGCGAAACTTGAAACGTTCGCTCAAGCCCGCCCATAAACAGCGGGTTTGCAGTCTTTGCAGCAGTGCCAATTTCTACAGATGTTAGGTGTATCGGACTCGTGCTCGGTACTTGCCAAGTTGCTCTGGTGAACTGATAGTAATTTTGCGGAGCGTTTTTGTATGTGTGGTTATTTCGTTAGGATAGCCGCAACGTTGCAATGAACGACGCCAGCGCGGGCGTTTTGTCTCAGGCAATGAACGTCGCCAAGCTAGAAGGCAGAGAAACCGACGAAAATGATGCAGAGTCTGACTGCGACGTTGATAAACTCTCAGGTACGTAAATTTTTTTCCTTTTTCTATTTCGGGCATTGATTTTAAGTCTGCTTCGTGCGTGAAACTTACATTGAAAGGAGTCGGCACGGTTAACTGCGATCGATTACAGTTGCTACCTGGTCCTTTACCGCAAAATCTGGTCAGGATTTGCTATGAACAAAAGCAGCAGCTTGCCTGTGTTCGTTGCCGCTGCAACTAACCGCGTCTCTACTACTCCGTGACTAACGACAGCACGAGCGATCGGTTGAATATGACCGTTATGGTCCGTCTGACTCGATGGAAGCTTCCATCGTTTTGTAAGCTTATTTTTATTTTTCCTTTTTTACCCGTAAAATTTCGTAACTTTCAGGATCATTCATTTCTTGCAGTCAGTGACGTTTTCTTTGACTTGAAAGGGGTTATGAAACGGTTTTCCTACTTCTTCCTCCTCAGCTTTAATTCTCAACTCAAATGCAAATTGTGAAATCACGTCGTCGTGACATTCTTCGGCACCGGTGCGATGACTCCTTGCTTCCACCGTGCTGTTTTATAACTTGTCATTCCCCAGTGACGATAAGTTCCGTCAGGGCACTTATTGGGCCACGAACGCGAATCCGAATATTCGTCGACGGATTGGTTGTTGACGAGCGCATACGTCCGAGTGACGCAGTTCTCGTGTCCAATGCGTGAGCTGGGCTCGGCTGACGTCAGGTTGGCACCGCTGACGCGCTTTGGGAACCGCGGATGTATCATAGGAAAAAGGCGGAGAACTTCCGAAGGAAAGAAGGTACAAAATAGTCCGCCATATTTTCAAATGTTCGTACCGAAAAGCTGGCTTTTGACTTTCTACCCTCTTTCTTTTGGCCAGCTAAACGATATGTGATTAGTAAAGTCCCAATTTAAAATCATTCATCCCAGCCCAAAATTCGCTTCATGGCCCCTTTTAAAATTGTAGGGAATCGATAAAAAGATAGATTGATATAAATACGAAGGAATATTCTCGGCTTCGGCTTATCATATTTCCTGCTATTTCCCACATCCCCAACCCACTTTATATTTTAATCCGTTTTTTTTTTTTTTTTTTTAACGCGTTGTACATGAATTAATTTGCACTTATTGAATGTTTGTTATCCTAATAATAGGAAACTAAAGCACAAACATCGCGTGCTCGCGCAAGCACGTATACGCCTCCCCCAAAGAAACAAAAGCAAGGCGGTAAACTGCTCAGCAACATATGTTTAGAATCTTCGTAAATTTTTTTTTTTTTTTAATTATTATCGATTTATGCGGACTCGGCGGAGATTTGACACAAACCAAAATCAACGCCACAGAAAGACGACACTCCGACATTGAAAGGTTACTGTCGTGGCCTAGCTGCACAATGACCGTATCGCGTGTTCTTCGGTGATTAAAAATGTTGCCCAATTCCGACAGCGAGGGCGCGTCCGCTAAGCGAATGCGATAAGGGAAAAGGCGAGCCGGCGTCTCTCATCGGAAGACTTCCACGTCCGCGCGCGACAAGCGCGGGTGCGTTTACGAATGACGTAAAAGGCGAATGTCTGTCCTCCTTTCATCGTGAGGTGTTTTTCTTTTTTTGGTACATACACGTACTTTTATTTTTTGTTTCTTTTCAAATTGATTGCTTACGGTAAAAGTGATTTCATGAGACGTTCGTGGCGGCCCCTTTTTGCCCGCGTAGTTGTTTTTGGGGGGGTTGGCTTTGCGCAGCGCTCCAGAGCTGTGCGGGAAAGGTATCTTTCTTTTCTTTTTTTTCCCTCGAGTTTGTTTCTAACTAGAAACTGGTAGCAGAGCGCAAACAATACACAAAGGGAGGAATGGACAGATCGAGCGCCTCTTTGTTGGTTTTTAATGCCTATTTTGGCGAACATGATCAAATTGGCAGGCGTATATTTCCTGAACGCGTCCCTCCTTACATCGTGTGTGTTGTTTGTTACCTCTAAAATTTGAGGGGAAAGAAAAAAAAAAAAACAACATTACTATGTGATGCAATAGAGTAATACATATTAGAGGAAGGCAGCTATGTCCCGCGATGGACTCTTTTCTAAAAGTTTCTCTATTCAGAGAGGGACGAGTCCAATCTACGTTCCAGGTACAGCATACAGCGGCTTCTCCACATAGCCACAACTGAACGTCCCCGAGAGCGGGCAGCGGACACTGAGTTTTTTTCCAAACTGGCACACGTATATACGTCGCGCCCAATTCACGAAATAGAGAATGCATGATTTAGGCAACATGGTTCCACATTCCCGCCGCCATTCGAGCAGAACCCCACTCTATATCCAGAGATGAGCCCGCGGTCCCTTTTCTATATACCTCTTACGGTCCGGACGACTGAGACTAGAAGCTCTGCCTTCGGCGCGAGCTTTCTGCCCTCGCTAACACAAGTGGGAACGCGCAACAGGCACGCGCAACCAGAGCACTGCGGAAGCCAGCGAGCTCGCGCTGAAGGCGGAGCTTCTGTAGTCTCAGCTTGAGGGTGAACAGTGGGGAGTGAACCGAGGATCCCAGTGCTCGGCAGCGCGAGCTTTCGCTCCACGTGTTCCCAGCTGCAATGGGTTGTGCCTCGTTTCACTTGATGCCCAGACGCAGCCAGCGGTACGAGTTGATGAGACCAATTCGAGTCTCAAAAGTGCGACTCACTGGACCTTCCCTGTACGTGATCGGTTCGGCGAGGAAAGAAAACGTACGGACGCGTAAAGAACACCGTTTCGTCGCGCTTTCGACGCGGTCCCATTAGCTTGTTGCGTCGTCTGCGTCCGGACGTATAACACACTGGGCCACCGATACCTTGTAGATAAGGAACGGGAAGGGCGCCTTCCGCGCCGGCGGACCGTGGGAGGGCACCGGCGGCGACGCCGAGACCCGGCTGTTTCAAGGGCTGCGTCGTCGGCTAATTGTTGCCGTCTAGACCGGAGAATGCCGTGGGTGCCCCGCGGGCACCGGGCCAGCCGGTTACCTGGGGAACGGATAGGCCCCGGGCGGCCGGGAGGATACCGCCTTTCCTAGGGCACGAGCCGCTGCGGGACTCGCAGCTTCCACGTTGTTGGGTCCTTTGGAAGAACACACCGCTTCAGCCCTCTTGGTGCTGTTAGCTGAATATTTATCTGAAATTGCAGGAAAGGATTTTTTCCGTACCCCAGAAATGTTTAAAAAAATTGCGATAGGGGGAAAAATATTGTGAGCCATCTGTGGAGGTGGTTGGCCAGCGAAGCTGCAGAGCACCACACCTCAAATGAATCACCAAGAGACGCACACTTCACCAAGTGTTTATTTACAGTATTTATACATCATTTTGAAACCGTAGTCATGATTTCTTTGTGATCACCATGATATACACTAACGGTGTTCCATTACAACTTTGGTGAGATGAGCTCGCAGCCAGGCCAAAGCAGCCAAGCTTCTCTTCGCATAGTTGCACACTCCTTGCGTCACGTACATGTGACTCTCAGGTGACGTCATACGGCACGGTATTCCCGTATCGCGGATCACCTGTTCATACTCCGGCGAGGCCGACGACTCCTAGCGTGCGAAGTTGAACCTGCAGAAGGAACGCTATCGGGAATGATACTGGTCTTATTCCTAGAATCTCCTGTCAGTCTGAGTGCTCGTATATCTGGGGTGTTTCCATTATCAAAGGTGCCTCTGGTGGCAATTTAATCGCGGAGCTGCTTATGCATTGTTTCATAGAAGAGAAAATATTCTTGTTTATAATTTTTTTTTTTTTTTTTACTAGTGGACGACAGTTATTCTTTAGAGAACTATATATACATATGCACTTTTTTATGTTTGCTCTTTCAAGAAGTGGTCTGTTTATTTGTTTACAGAACATTTCTTTTTTTCGTTAAAAATATTTTTTTACATTAAAGTTTCTTTCGACGAAGAATCTTGTTGTCTCCACCATCACTGCTCCCTTGGAGATCCCAGAAAGGTTCTAGATGAGGGCAGCGTAAGAGCGGGCGTTTCTTTGACGGAGTAATCGTTCGATTAAATTCGTGGAAGCAGTCGGCAGTTGCCGAGAAATTCCTCCGCGCTTCTATAGAACGGGTCGAGGGCTTTTCTCAGTATTTCCTTATCGCTTCCGCGAATTCGGTCCACTGGTTGTAGAAAAACTCTCTAAATGCAAACAGACTCGATGACTAAAATGCTAGTCTGGTCTTCAGCCATTATATACTAGGAACATGTTTTTCTCAGTTTGTAACGGACAATAAAAACTGGACCCGAGAGCTGAATTTAAAAGACGCGCATAAAACTATCTCACGCGTGTGCAGATTAAATCCGGATAAAACGATGCAACCGCGTATAACGGTATGATACGCGTCTTTTTACATGCTCATATTTTGTCAAACGGGCTTCCCTTCCAGAAACGTGCTTAGTTTTGAATCTTCTTTAGAGTTATTTTTTTCAATAATAGTAGTAGTAATAATAATAATAATAATAATAATAATAATAATAATAATAATGAAATGAACACATACGTTGGTGTTACTTTTTTGATATTACGTTCTTGCACACTTGTGCAAATTTGTATAGGATCTTTTCTTTTTGTGTGTTTGTTCGGGAGGGTTTGCTAAAAGTAATAACTTGGTGCGACTATACGTATTTATTTTTTATCTCTTGTAATGATGTTGCAGTGGAGGGAAGCGGTTTTGTTAAATAAAGAAATGAACTAATTACAGCCAGCTTGTTATAAATACGGGTATAGTTAATTTCGCAAAGTTTTTTTCGTTTCTTTTCTTTTTTAAGGTAATTTGGATTGCATTTTATATCATCGATGGCAAATGCATTCTTAAACTGACGAACAAAGCATGATGGGATCCTGGTAGCTTGGCTACGGAACATAAATTCCGTAGCCGGCCTACCGGTATGTATAAATTACAACACCGTCACCATGTCGGGTTTTGCTCACTTCCTGATCGAGCTTGTGTCTGCGTGACATTTGCAGAGTATGTCAACTTGCCGGTCGACAAGTATACAATTGCCGACTTCTGTTTGACATTCAA